CTCCTTAGAAGAATTCGACTTAAGCGATTCTTCACTATCACTCCCAAAGTCCACAAATTGAGACCGAATACGTCTCCTACTAGTACCAACATCATCACCAATATTAGGAATACCAACATTTGATGCCAAAAAATCATCGGGAGAAGAAACGCGAGGATGCTCCTCGAAAACGGCCGAAAACGGCCCCCCCACGCGCCCGCACGCGCCCCCCAACGCGCCCCCACGCGCGGGCGCGTCTGAAACCCCTCCTCCCGCGCGCCGTTTTTATTTTCTTTTATATTTTTCGATGCACCCCGCCCTACCCCCCTACCCCTTCCCTCCTCTCTCTCTCTCTCTCCTGCCTACCTACCCCCCTACCCCTTCCCTCCTCTCTTTCTCTCTCCTGCCTACCTACCCCCCTACCCCTTCCCTCCTCTCTCTCTCTCTCCTGCCTACCTACCCCCCTACCCCTTCCTTCTCTCTCCTGCCTATCACCCCCCCCCACGTGCACCACCCCTCCAGCCCCACCTACCCCTCCTTCCCCCTCCTTCTCTCTCTCTTCTCTCTCCACTACAATTCGGGCTCCCTGCCCGTCTTCACCTCCCAACTCAGATAGCGCGGCTCCACTTCTCGCGGAGCCCAATCGCGCGGCTCCCCTCATATCTTCCAGCCGCGCGGGTTCCTCCACTGGTTCAGCCACAATTTCTCCCGATAAACCTAATCGCCTGCAATCGGGACGAATCATTTCTTTCTCCGGTGCAATTTTTTTCCCAGAACTCGACCCAAATACCTTCCCTACCGTTCCAAAGGGCCTCCCGGTTTCCTCAAACGAATTTCTCAAGATAATTTTCAACTGTTTCGCCTTCACCGTTTGGGACATATAAATTCTTCTATCTGAGGATCTTCTCACCCCAGAGAATATATTATTTTCTACAACGGAGTATATATGGAGCAAAATAGGTTTCGGAGATATATAAAATAAAAAATAGTATTACTCACCCATATTTATTCGACGTGGTTCTTGATACTCCTCTCTCCTGCTTTCACAAGGAATTACCTACTCCTACGCACAAATTTATATTTAAAGCCCTTTAAATATGAATCCGCTCACCGATGGGACAACAAAATAATAATAAAATTTTATTATTATCCTCACCTCAACGACACAAGCAAGTAATTGAAATCCAATTCTACTCTCGACACGATCCGGCACCTCTCTCCAATTCGCTCCCACATCGATTCGAGAGTGGGGGGCTTAATGATATACCTATTGGCCCAGCCCAATAGCCCACATTTACTGGACCACAGGCCCAACTTAATAGCTATTTCTACAGAGGCCCAATCGAACCCAAATAAGGTTGGGCCCGATAAATTGTCTCGACCCAATCAATAAAGTATAAATAGAACTTAAATTCATTGAATGAAGGTACGTTACTATTATTCCCTCAATTCTTCTATTCGAATTCTCTCCACAATTACCAACTATCTTCACGTCTGACTTGAGCGTCGGAGGGGTTTCCGCCGGATCGACCCCCGGCTTAGATTACGTGTTTTCTGTTCGCAGGATCCTAGAGTAAATTAAAGTTCTCAGGACTATCTAGCTCGTGAGCACGTGACCTACTTTGCTCTCCCAGCTTCAACACATTAGGTGATTTATTTTTTACGTCATCAAATACATTGGGTGTTCATTAACCGTTGATATGCACATAATCACACGCCTCTATATGTATGTGTGCTTAGTGGGAAACTATTTCACCACATCAATATTAAAAGGGGTCTTTAGCAATAAACCCCTTGGATGAATAACAAAAGGTGATATATCCAACCCTCAAATCTTTCTTTGTGATAACCCCCTATAAATATTAATTCCAATACTACCCTTCTAAAATTATACAATCTCCTACACAATAATTGCACGGTTCTTGTTTCCGTAAATAATGCCTAAATAATAGTGATTTTTTTCCAACACTTAATATTCGAATTCCTTAAATTCTGCCAATTAATTAAAGAAGAAAATAAAAAAAAATCAGCACAATATCATATCTCCTTAAAATCAGCCAACAAATTAAAAAGAATAAAAATATGCTTGATCACGTACAAATCAAAACCCACTAATTAAAAGCTTTGCAGAGTACAATTTTTATTTTTATTTTTTTATTTTTTATTTATTTTTTATTTTTTTTAATATTTTCTTACAAAAATGTTAAATAAAAAATTGAATTTTTCCCCAGACAAGTTTATTACGTTGAATATGACTATAGTTGAATATGACTATAATCTAATATGACTGTATGTGACTATATCAATTGTAGTCATATTCTTTCTTTATTTTGTCGGTTTTTGCATTTTCAACTTTAAATACCTGATTATATAGTGTATTACAGTCATGTTTACCAAATTAAAAAAACTTTAGTCTGTTTTTCGACAATTAATTCGAGAAAAAAAATATGAATTAACCATGACTGTAGTCATATTAAGTATGTATTTATTCAATAACAGTGAGTCCAATGTGACTCCAACGTGACTACAATGTGACTACAATGTGACTACAATGTGACTACACTCCTAATTGCGCTACGGGTTCCTCAAATCTCGTCGGCGTTGTTTTATTTGCATCAATCTGGTATGGGTTAGTTGTAAGGTGGCGGAGGCAAGAGTGTTTGGGGTATTTATGGGGTTGGGAGGAGGAAACGCGTAACCCTAAATGGCGGCTCTGGCCAGTGGCTTGCATATAGAACAAATAAAATGCAATTAAGAAGAACAATGAATTACATTTGGCAATATTGTCGGGCTCTCTTGAGTACTTCACCTGAGAAACATAAACAAAGTATGAATCTTAAATCATGAGAATATATATTAAAACCAAAGGCATCAAACAAGAAATTAAAACGACGAACAACTTACAGTTAGCGCATTTGAAGAATTTTATCAAAGGTTCTCAAATTACATGCCGCTGTTGTAACTGAATCAAAGACTAACAATTCTTCCAACAATCTTCAAAGATTCAAGAGAACACATACAATTACAAAAGAATTTTAAATTACAGAGATGAATTGTGTTTATATATATATATATATATATATATATATATATATATATATATATATAGAGAGAGAGAGAGAGAGAGAGAGAGAGAGAGAGAGAGAGAGAGAGAGAGAGAGAGAGAGAGAGAGAGAGAGAGAGAGAGAGAGAGAGGAAGGAGCGTGAAAAAAAAATTGTGAGAGAATAAGATGAGAGAACGAATATTTTGTGAGAGAACGAGAGAGGAGAGATAACGAAAGAGAGAAATATGGAGATTTAAAGAGAGAATTAATGTAATCCTATAATTACGTGAGAGGTTATGGAAAATAAATATTGCAATTATTTAAAAAAAAACCTACCTATAAGGGTAGTTTCGGCTTATCACATTTGTTGAGGGGGTTTCACTAATTAAGATTGGATTTTGGGTTTGTGCAAAAGTCTTAAAAGTCAAATGGGTTTTACTCATAATATTTTCCATTTGAGGGGGGTATTGCATATTTCTCCATATTAAAAATCACCCAGTGTATTTTACCGGATTTAGCATCCCAATGACCCATTATTGGTAATTAGTAATAATCATTCCATAAATCTTAAATCATAATTTCCTTTTAGAATATAAAAATAAATTAATTAAACATGAGTAAATTACAACCACCGCTGAGTTATGGTCAATTTACAAAAACCCCCCTTCTGTTTAGGAAATTACAACCACCCCCTCAACTATAAATATTTTTACACGTCCACTCTTGCATGCAGTTTAAAATTTAGTGGAATTTTCGAGACTATATGGAATATAATCACTTTTGTACCTGATTTATCCCATTCGAACTTCATATTTTGAAGCAAGATGATCATAATATATGTTTTCCGGCTTGTATATATATTGTGGTGCATCTGAAACTGTATTTTTACACAAAAAGAGTACAAACTAGAGCACATTCCACGAAATCTAGATGATTATGTTGAATTTGACACCATAAGGGTGAAGGTGTAAGAAAAAAATATAATTGAGGGGATTAGATGTAATTATCAAAACAAGATGGGGTTTTTAATAAATTGGCCATACCTTAGGGGCCATTTATCATCATCATGCATAAAATGCGCCTTTGTTATTGGCCGAATTGAGTTGGGCCGAATGTGGCAATTGCGCATGATTTTATTATGGTGTTTTGGGCTATAGAAAGCCCAATTTTTCTAATAAATTGATCAGAAAAGTTATTAAACTAACTAAACATAAGGTCATATATCGAAATTTTATTCGAGATTGTTCGTTAAAAAATCATTTGAGCTCGATTTGTCAACATAGCGAACCAAGTTTGAAAACGTATTTTTGTTATAACAATTAAGAAATTTGACTCGATAACGCTCAAACCATTTGAACCACCGTCTGTTTGGTTCGACCCAGTTCATTTACAACTCTAAACAAGCATCAAACAACGTTCAATTTAGTTAACCGTGACTTATTTTACAAACTAAACTAGCCTAAAATAATTCATAACGAGGTAATAAATTAGTTTTTCAATGCTCCTTTTTGGGTAAATTACGATCACCCACCCCTGAGGTAAGGTCAAACTACGAAAATGACATTTTTGACAAATATGCATTAAATGCTCATTTGAGCATTAAATGACACATTTGCACAATTTGACTCAATGGAAAATCGAAATTATATCACTAACCATACATTAGGGTCAAGATAATAGAAAATCTTATGGATTGCTCCATATAAAAATATAACAAAATATAAAAGGACAATTTATAAATCTAAATATTGAATAAAAGTTTTCATTTTTATATACATTTAACAAAATTGTGATAAATCAGAAATAATAAATATCAAAAAGAAATCCAAAATCAAATCTTTTGGAAAAAAATCTTTAAAGATAATGGCAACAATTCTCAAAGAGAGAGAAATAATAAACACACATTAAAATTAAATATTTACCCTCACCCGTTACGAAATACTACCCACAAGTGAATCAATTATTATACTTATACACACAAGGTCAAAAATTTAGAGGGGTAGAATAGACATTTACTATTTGGTACGTTCAGTATCCAGGTGTTGTTTCATCGTTCTTTTGAAATAGGCAACCGCAGAAACAGGGCTTTCTCGCCGTGCTTTCTCTCTCTTCTCTCTCCGGCGTTTGAAGGCACTTTCTCTCTCTAACACCGCCCTAGCCTTTCGCCGTATCTCAGTGAAACACACGTGCCAATTCCGTACCTTATAAATACACCTTTCTTCATTTTATTAATTTTTTTTTTATTTTTACCCCATTTTCGGAGTGAGGATTTGTACACACTCTCACATTTGCCTGGCTCCACGTTTCGCTCTAACTGAAAAACAGGAGAAGCCAAAACCTAGATTCAATTGCACCGCCATTGCAAACCTCTCCAACCGCTGGCCCGCCGCCGCCGCCGCCGTGAGTTGTTTCAGGCAAGTGTTTCGCCCAATTACGCGCAGGTTTTTCCTACGTATTTCAACTTTGGCACTGCATGTAATTCCTGAATTTCAATGGAGCCGGATTTTATTTTCTCTAAATGTAGGCCCACTTAATTGGCTGTGGGGTTTTTTTCTCATGCAAGAAAAAATCAGGACTTTTTTGGGACGGAATAGGGTTTGGATTTCGTGTGATTGCGGTGTAGCATAAAATTCAATGGAAATTTGTGTTTAATCTATAACCATTTAGCGCTTAGGTTTTTATTTTATATCTTGCTCATGGATTTTTCAAAATTTTTTTTTTATTTGATTAATAACACATTGAAACTGTCTATACTGAATCTCTGATAGATGCAATATATTGTCTTAAATAGATAACAGAATGAGTCAAAATGATGTAGAAATGGAGGAGGCTGGAAAGCATGATCATGATTCGGGAAATAATGTCGAAGAGTCTTTGAGTAAAGTACTTGATTCTAAGACTGAAATCGAAGGAGAAAACCCTCCCTCTGAAGTTAGAGTTGTAGGGGATGCAAATACAAGTGAGAATGGTGTGAGTAATGAAGCAAATAGCAATGCAACTGTAAAGAGTGAGATAGAAGACCAATCTAATCATGCAAGCGAGGCGAATGACCGAATAAATCTTGAGGAAATTATGGGAGAACAAACCAATACCAACAGTAACAATGACGAGAGAAGCAGCACCAAACCTGAACTTGAAGAGCAAACTGATGCTATAAGTTTAGTGGACAAACATACTGTTTCCGAGAATGAAGTGGTTGAACAGAACACTACTAATGGTGTGGTGAAAGAAGACAAGTCCGCTGAGAATGGCGTGGAAGGTGGAAATCCTGTTAAGAATATGATAGAGGAAAATCCCATTGGAGATGGTGCAGCGGAGATGCCTGAAACTATTGGAATGGAAGATGGAGGTTGTGTTGAACATGTTCCAAGGAAAGAACTGACAAATGGAAACGCTGAAAGTGTAAGTGATCATAGGGAAAATAGAAATTCACAAACTGAGTTATCTTTAGACGCAGCTCTTCAAAGCCAGAATGCTGCTATAACTGAGGTTCCAATGGGTGGGGATGTCGAAATGGAAGTTGCATCTAAGGAAAGTGAGGATAAAACAGTTAATAATGAAGCTAAAGAACATGGTAAAGAAATAATTCTTGCTAGCCCTGTAAGTGATGAAAATGCCAAGAATGTTGAAACTGCAACCAAACAAGGAGGTCATGATTCCTCACTTTTAAACCAGCCTGAAGCTGCTACACCCTCTTCTCTTTTGATACATAATCCTGCAAAGATTAGAGATCGTAGCGGAGAAACTAGCAAGACTGTTTTTACAGCATTACCTCAGGTAATAGAATTTATACCGGAATTTTTATTATTGAAATCAGTCATGAAATGGATCCATCACAGGTTTCAGTTGTTAATCGTTTGTCTTCTTTGTTAGATGGCAGAGGGTGATGATGGAACACTAGAAGATCAAGCAGCATTCATGAAGGAACTAGAAACTTTTCATCGAGAGAGGGCCATAGACTTCAAACCACCAAAATTTTATGGCCAGCCACTAAATTGCCTGAAGTAAGTATTTTATTCATTTACTTTTATTATTATCTTGTTCTCGGGTAAATTTGTTTTTTCATTGCCTTGTCGGTATCTAGGTTATGGAGAGCTGTCATCAGATTAGGAGGCTATGACAGGGTATGTATGTCGAAATTTCTCCAATGCTCTTTTATTTTACTGTACATTACTCTTTTATTTTAGTTGTGGTATTCTGCACTTAATTGAACTTCTTTAATTAGTTAATTAGAGCATCGAGTTAGATAGTAAGTTTCTTTGCTGCTGTTTCAGTATTTATGATTTTTTCACCCTTTAATAGGTAACTGGATCCAAGTTGTGGCGGCAGGTGGGAGAGTCGTTTCATCCACCAAAGTAAGGCCCTATGTGGATTTTTTTTACCATCTATGTTTGTTTACGAGAGTGTGCCTTTTTTTTTAACATTATTTTTCAACAGTTTGATGTGGATTACTGATAAACTTTCAATGGTTAAAGTTATCTGTCGTATTAGTATTTCAGCATGGTTTTCTTAATAGACAGTAATTTTATCAAATGATTGTAGAACGTGCTAAGTTGGAATAATTTCATTTTTGATTAAGTAAATAAAAGATCATGTAGTAATGAAATTCAGAAAGAAATATTTTGTGCATATACAGTTTTAGATTAGATTTGTACTTGGCTTCCATTACAAGAGATAGTTTGAATTGTTTTATTGCATTTTCCATTTGTTTGATAGCTGTAGTTATACAGACTATGATTTATCAGCAATTTGATCCAATTTCTTCAAAAATTTAATGAATGGATTTTAAAGTTGATCAAGTGGGTTTGTTTTTTCATGGGCAGGACTTGTACAACAGTTTCTTGGACATTCCGCATTTTCTATGAGAAGGTAATCATTCCGGTCTAACTTCCCTATTTTGTTGGTCTCACTAGTCGTCGTATTCGATTCATTGTGGGGGAGCTTCATGAGTTCTTCTGCGGGGAAATAATTCAGCTTTTTTCAATAGAAGATTTTATTAACTCTACGATTTTTTGGTATCAACTGAAACACTGTAATCAACATCAAGTATAACATGATGTAGTACATTTTCTTTATATTTCAAGTGATTGGGAATACATATGACATTAATTGTAAAAGGAGATGAGTCCGGAACAGGAAAAATATGTTTCTTATTATGATCTCTCTTTTATATTTTGTGATCCTTATGTGTGTGTGTATATATATATATATATATATATATATCACTTATAACTAAATCTTATCTTTTTCACTGTTTATTGACATTTTTTCATTTATTTGCGACAGTCTCTTAGAGATTATGAAGCTCATAAGATACAAAGTGGTGACCTTCAACTCCCGGTACCAATGCTCCCTGAAGCTTCTGGTGCTGACTGTGAAGTGAGTTTGCACTTCCGTTGAATATATTTTCCCCCTTCTTTTTACTCTTCTCCATGCAGTACATCCATCAGTATGAGTATTGGATTTTATCGTGGCCATTGGCATAGATTTCTGCTGAAAGAATTATGATGTTTGAGGAGAATGGAAGTGTAAACCTTTTCTTACGATATTATTTAACCTTTCTTCTTTAATTTCATTCCTCTCATTTTTCTTACTTTAATCTCGTTTATTTTTAGTAAAGAGTCCAACCCTCTAATTTACCCACTAGAGCTGAGAAGATTAAAACATTTTATGATATTACTGAATTTAGCAGTTGAACAGCTAGAATTTCAAGGGTTTTTGTAGATGTTCCGATGTTGCATTTAGCTTTGGTGGTTCTCATTCTTTTGCATCTAATAGAAGATATCTATTTGGAGGATTTGGCTTGGGTTTCACTAATGTGGTGGCTTAAATGTTTAACCCGCCTCCTGCCCTCTCTCTCCTCCTCCACATGTCTCTTATTCCGCCTCCTTGTATATCACGTGGTTTCTACTTTATATCTATCCTTGTCCCTTGTGTGTGGCCTGCATCTTATTTAGATTTGTAGATCACGTGTTTGTGTTTTGGATGTTAATATACCCCGTAAAATATGATAAATTGCATAAGCCTCAGGCTTCATCATAGATTCGATTTTGTCTTGTATAACTGCGTAGGAAAATGGCTATCAAGGAGCAGGATCTGGAAGGGCTAGAAGAGATGCTGCTGCTCGTGCTATGCAAGGTTGGCATGTCCAACGCCTTTTTGGTGGCGAGGCTGGAGACCCTGTTATAAAGGTTTGTAAACAGTAACTGCTTAATTCTTAAAGCACATGGACCTCTATTGGTATTCTGAAACGTTCTTTGATTATGTTTTCAATAGGACAAGAATCTTAACAGTATGGCGAAGCGGGAGAAAAATGTTAAAAGCATTGGTAAGCTAGTTTCTGTTATATCTTTTAATGTATATGCTCCACTTTCGATTAATCTTTTGGACCAATAGATATGGGTTAACTCTGCTTCATCTTAATATCACTTTGTTTCCTTTTGTTGGTTTGTTCTTAATTGGATGTGTGAATTCAGGCTCACTCAAGCAGAAGAGGCCAAATGAGGTGGAGAACTCGGTTAAATACGCCCGAGCTGAATCATCGAAACAGTTAAGCTTGTTTTTGTTTGATTAGTTATATTTCCTTATGTTTTCTGATTGAACTTGGCTTATATCTGTTGCCTAATGTAAGTTCACCATTTCCCCGACCTCGTGACGCTTTTATAGGTATATCATCACAGCTGTAACTGATGTTCTTTTTTTGTGATAGAATACATCAGTAGATTACTTTTTAGACCTTAAATATATACACATACACAATCTTAAAGTTGCCACTAAAGTTCAATTGTTGACCAAGATTGGATAGCAGTCCTTGATCTGTGCCTAAGATCCAACCAGAGTAGAGCGTACTTGTCCGAGTGACTGTTATCTGGTTTTTCTATCATACTGGATTTTATCCATGATAAAACAGTTTATTTACCTATCCATGTGCAAGACGCCAATAACTATGGGCAACTTAGACGCCTGCTACCAATTTGTTTGCAGGCTGTGGCTTGTTTGGTTGCTCGAGTTCTTAACTTTTCCTTATGTAGTAAACTGATAACTTGAGCACTTCAGGTAACAAACTTTTGTTTAGGACTATTTGGAACTCTTTGGTTCTACGTGTAGGGGTTATCTTTAGATAAAATTCTGCTTGGCAAGTGGTCCAATAAGATGCTTAGTGCCAATATGAATAAGGAGATCAAAATTCTTCCCAGTGGGCTAGAAATTTGTATGTAAAACTTCTGCATTATTGTGTTTACTTATTGCGTTTTTACAGTCTAGTTCTCCTAGCTAGGTTACTTTGTAATCTTAGAAAACCTGAAACTGTATACTTGCTCTTCCTTTTGTTGTTTTCCAAGTAGTATCTGTCATGTCATAGGATTGACTTCTTTGTCAAATAACGAGTGTGAACGCTAAGAATCTGAGTAACAGTGGTATTGAAAAATGCATAACTATTTTGTTTTCCTTTTTGGGTATAATTGCTTTAGATGTGTCTTTTCCACAATCCCCCCTCCACCTTCTTTTTGGATTACACTAAAATCAGGGTAACTGATTTTTCCTTGCTGCTATTTTTGTTTGGTAGACTGGTGACATCAGTAGTTGATGTTGGGCCTCCAGCTGATTGGGTGAAGATCAACGTTCGCCAAACGGTAGGTTTATCAAATCTCCCATTCTGTCACAATGCACCCGTGCAACTGACACAAAATAATTAACTTTGACTGGTTTTTACGGGTGCAGGAAGATTGTTTCGAGGTTTATGCTCTTGTACCGGGGCTTCTACGTGAAGAGGTGTGTGCTTTCTCACTTTAGTGCATACGTAGAATACAAGAATAATTGATAAATAGAGAAATGGCAAAATAAGCAAGAATCTTAAACACATTAATAAGCCATTGAAGTTTTTCCGTATGGAGAGGACACGGCTCCTAAACTGATATTTTAATATTACGAATCTGAATCTTCTAATACAAGATCATATGCATAATTATACTAATAAACTGAATATAAACCAACTTCATTAAAATAGGAAATAGAAGTTCACAACAAATGCATCAGTTATGAGTGGTTATGATATAACTTATCCATTTCATTAACTACTTTTCTCTGTCTTCGATAATACGGGATCAGAGGTGGTGTTGTATCAGTACTTATTAAGTGTATGATTTTACTGCATTTAATCGAACTAGTTGTAAAATTGACAATATTATAATCATGCTTCTTATTGGTCGTTTAGGTGCGTGTTCAGTCAGATCCCGCTGGACGTTTGGTCATAACAGGTCAACCCGAGCAAGTTGAAAATCCCTGGGGTGTTACACCATTCAAAAAGGTATTCTTTCCCTTTTTGCAAATGAGAAGCTGACGAATTCTTCTTCGTGTACTAAGTTCTAAACTACACAACTTCATGGTTTCTCATTATCGAAACAAACTTCTGAAAAATTCTGTACATTTATTAGGAATATAACGTTGTGTTGGTTGGTTTGTCAGGTGGTGAGCCTACCTTTAAGGATTGATCCACTTAAGACATCTGCAGTGGTTAGCCTGCACGGGCGTCTTTTTGTTCGTGTTCCATTTGAGCTCTCTAATACCTAAAATTCATTCAAACAAGACCGACCAATTCGTGCAGAAGTATCTGATAGCTTTGTGAATGTCTAGCTTTTACAATTACATGTGTATGATTTGCATTTGCAGGTTAGGTTTTAGATTCGTCCTTTTTTTTTTTTTCTAAAGCTCAAATTTTGATCTTTTTAGTGACAACTATATTTTGGAGGCCTTGTTTTTTTCCTTTTCCCCTGTTGCAATTGCCCCATTAGCTCTTACGGTGTAAGTCGGAACCCACCCTTCATTTAATTCATTGAGACTTGTTTTTTCGTTCCATCCCTTGTCTGAACTTTGCATTTTATTCATATTTTCTTCGGTTATGAAAAGCTCACTGAAAACGGCTGCCGTCTGGTTTTGCTTGATAGTGTTTGTTGGGATTGGATTTGGGAATTTTTTCCACCGGAAAATCGGTTGTTACATTTTATGGTACGAAAACAAAATTCGTAATATTATAGTTAATGATTAGCATCACTGGCTCGATTATGAGGAGCCTACTTCAGCTTTTGTCGAAATGATTGAATTCGCTGAACAAAAAATTCAAAGTTCTTTTGATAATGTTATAGGAATATGTATATTTGCCTTCCCCTAATTTGTTTTTCCTTCTTCATACTCTTGTTTAAATTTGTTTAGTTTCCATTTCAATTAGTATTTATAAATAGACGCAATTTGCTAAGTATCTCTAAGAGGGTGTTTGGCTAAGCTTATAAGATGCTTTAGAGTTTAGGACAATTATATTTTTGCATTTTTCTTAAAGTTTCTCGGGCAGTTTAGTTAAAGAACTTAGGTAAAAATTAGTTATTTTAAACTGAAAAACCTTACTATCCTTCAATTCATCCATTATTAAAACTACATCCTCTAAAAAAATGGTATTTCTTCCACTTTTCCGCCTCCCCCTACAGTCCTCTACCCTCGACTGCCTAATTTCTGCAACAATATCGTTGGAAAAAGGTTACTTTCATAAAAAAATGTCTATTTTTTGTTCAAATTCTCTAATTATGCTGTACATTTTCAGTCTATTATCAATCTAAACTTTCAAATTAAGTTATCTATTTCGTATCTAAGTTGTCCAATATAGCTGCCCCAAGGATTTGTTCGATCTAAAACTTGAGATAAGGGGTGCAAACAAAAAAAAAAACGATTCATTGGAGTTTTAGAAAATTCAAAATATCCCAGCGGACTTTCGAGGACAATGTTGCGTTACTTAACGCATCTTTTATTGTAGGGTTACAAACACCCCTGAGGTATGGTCAAATTAAAAAAAAAAACCCTCTTGTTTGGATAATTACAACCACACCCCTTAACTATAAATCTTTTTACACGCCAACTCTTGCGGTTTTAAATTTAATGGTATTTGCGATATTAGATTATTATCACTTTTGTGAAACATACAGGAGGACCACCCATGCACCATTTATGATGAAAACTTGGCTGCTAATTAATTAATTAACTAATAAATAAATAGGATAATAATAATAATAATATATGGATTGACATTTGGCTATCATCATCATTAAATATACATACCACCAAAGCACTCTCTAATGGCAGGCAAAATCATGCATTGAATTGTGTGCCACTCTTTACAAATTACACCCACCCATCACCCCACCCCCACCCCCCACCCCCTCACCACAAAGTTAACACCATCTCTACGCATTCACCTCGTTACCATTACACATTTCTCCACATGCTTATGAAAACCGAACCGGCAAATATCAACCGCTACCGGTTCGATGATGACTTTGCCATGGTTTGCATACACTCTTTCCGTTTCGAATTAATTGTCTGTCACTTTTTACATAATTTTATTCGATCCATATATACTACGTGTCACTTTGAAATACGAATGTTGCAGTAATTATGTTTTCCATATTTGCCCTTGCAACGTCTTCTAAATATTACTCCATCAAACACTTCTTTTTTCCTTCCACCTTCAAGCTATATTTTTCGAACCTGTCCAACGACAACTCGACAACTGGCTACCAAGTTCGGTGTTCCGATTTTGAAAACATTGCATTATACCACATGCATGCATGTGTTTAAAACAAAATTGTAGCTCATCAGCACAAAATCTAATGCGGAAAAAGGTGAGTATATATATATATATATATACAATTTTTCTAAAAACATATATATGTATTATCCATGATTCAAAAAAATAGGGTGAAAATATTGATAAACCAAATACATAAAAAAACATGTAATTAGTAGTACTGTTCTCTTCATAAAATATAAACCATAGACAAGAAATCAAGAATCAATCAGACACTAGATTTCTTGTGGCATTAATGTGAATTAATTCACATAAAAAGACAAGAAATCAAGAATCAATCAGACAGTAAATTTCTTGTTTTCTTTTTTACTGGCATTAAAGTAAATTAATTGACATAAAAAGACAAGAAATCAATAATAAACCAGACAAAAATGTCACAAAATAGTTATATATCATATCAAGGATTAAATTAAATTGAAGTAGTACTGATCAAGTGATGCCCATTGATAAATTGTTTTCAACAACTTGCTACTTTGCATGGCCCTAATTCAAATATATATTAGCTTTTACAGTCAATTGCAAAACATCATAAGCAACACAACTTCTATTCAAACACCAGCATATGTGTGTGTGTGTGTGTGTGTCGAGTTTCGACCCGATGATGTCAGCGAGCGAGGAAGATTATGCTTATCGATCTTGTTATCATTAGCTTAATCACATCCCACGAAAAGTATATATAATTAAATAAAATGAAAGTGCAACTAACTAAACTTTTCATCATGTGATCAAGAAAAAACAAAGGTAATAATTATTAATAAATCAAAAGTCAAGAGAAAAATAACCGTTGTCGTCCGATTATTATTTCAGCCGCGTTGAACAAACAAAAAAACGAAAAAAAAAGTTCCGGCAAGAGGGAGGAAGATTAGGGTTCCTTAATCAACAGATCGATGATGCATTTTTATTCCTAATTCATGCATTTTATGGCACCTAATTACTAATTAAACAAGCTAGCACTCAACATATATATCCAATGCATGTTATAATGACCTAGTAATATATATCCGTCGATGCTAATAGAGTTCACAAAAAATCACGACCTAAAATGATGTGCGCGCACACACACGGAGCATAAACGAAAGAATGGTAAAAAAACTCGAGAATGTAATTAATTTAATTATAATGTGACTATGTAAATCAAATATATATATATATACCAATTAGGCAAAACCTTTTAATTCAGAATCAATTTCTACCAAAATGTGTATATTGCATAGCACTTAGCAATGTTACATAGGGTGAAAAAATGTCGAAATTAAATTACTGACCTTGAAAAATTGCTTCGTCGATCTCTAATCATCGATCTCGATCTGTCGGCTGCATATAGCATTTGCTGATGATAATTTAATCTGATCTTCACCAAATTATAATTATAAAACCTCTCCTTTTGCTTCCAATTTCAAATTAACAATCTAAATTTCCCCCTCAAACACTAATAGTAATAACATATTAATTAATTACTGCTAATTAATCTTGACAAACAAATTAAAAGCTGAGAATAATTTAATTAATATATAACACATAAAATAAAAGCTAATTAATTAACACCATAATAAACAATTCACCGTGGTAGTACCGTCGATCAAAATGGCGGCGGCGGCCTGGCAGAACTACCACTCCCCCACCCAAACAATTCAGCTGAGAAAGGATAATTCCCCGGTGGTGGGGTGGTGTCTGAGTTCAGAAACGCACCATCTCCGCCGCCGCTACCATCACCACCACCACCGCCGCCGCCGCCTTCTGCGGCATGACCACCGCGACCGCCTCCTGCTGTGACGCCGGAAGACTGAGACGCACTCGGCTGGGGCTGAGTAGCTGCGGCGCCGCCGCCGCCGCCCTCTTCTTCCTCCAGAGGTAAGCGTTCGAACACTGCATTTGCAAAGGAAGCAGCCATAAGAACTACCGCCCCGGAAGCCATTAACGGGCCCACCACGCTCCCTCCGACAACCTGCCCCTGGCCGCCGGAAAGGAATATCGACAGCCCACCGGCACCCGGCGGCGCAGGCGGAGGCAGCACAGTTCCGGAAAGCGAGAGGATCTCGAAACGGCCGTGGAGCGTCACCACACTCCCAGCGGGGGCGGCCGGCTGGCGGAGGGTCACGTTCGCCACCGTGCCGCTGCCGCTGAGGACGCAGACGCCCCTCCCCCGCCGCCTCGCGTAGACGGAGACGCTCTCGACGACGTCGCTGCCGGACGAGATTTCGAGGACGTGGGATCGGAGCGCGTTGGGGCTGTCGCGCGTGACGATAATTGGGGGCTTGGGCTTGTTCTTGGATCCCGGAGGACGCCCGCGCGGGCGGCGGTTGGCGGAGGGAGTACCCCCGGAGCTGGTGGTAGCGGCGGCGTCGTCGTCCTTGGAATTAGCAGACAGCTCGTGATGAATTTCAAGACGAGAAGAAGGCGGCGGCGGCGGCCTCTGCTGCAAGTGGAAGTCCGGCGGTGGTGTGAGAAGCTGATGAACGTAGCGAGAAGAATTACCACCGCCGCCGGAGCCTTGCTGATGTTCGTAACCCGCCATTTCTAAACATCAATCTCTCTCTCTCTAAATATATTAAGAACTTTCTCTCTCTAGAAATGAAAACGAACACAGAAAACTGGAAAAGTAGTAATAAAGAATGAATATAATGAGTTATATTCTCTATTCTGGTAAATATTATTTAGGAGTGTTAATTTGATCTGACAAGAACAAGATTGAATGACCGAATAATTAATTAAAAACAATAACTGATTTGACATGAAATAAATTAATTAATTTGATTTATTCATCGCTCCAATATTAATTCTCACTCCAACTTGCTTAAACATCAAACCCAACAAAGATTCAAAGGCAGATACATATAGATCTAGAGAGAGAGAGAGAGAGAGAGAGAGAGAAGAAAACCCTAATAATTAGTTTAGTTTTTTTTCTTTTTCTCTCTCTAGAAGAGGTTGGAAGAGAGAGAAACTCTGAACTGGAAGTGGTCACTGTCTTCGTCTGCGTGACGGATAATAAATCAATAAATAAAGGATATATAAAAGAAGCTCAAAACTCTAAACTCAAATGAATAGATATATACGTACAAAATATATATATATATATATTATATTATATTTTATATTATATACACGCATAGGAATATATGTAGATTCATGCATGTACATATATATTATTTATTTATGAATGGGTTTTAGATTTTAGAGAGAGAGAGAAAAAAGGCATGCGCTTAGGTTAGGGTGCTGCTGCTGCTGCTGCTGAATTCACATAAAAAGAGATGAAAATAAGAGACGGTTGAAAAGTGTGCAGTAAAATGAGGGGCGAAACAGTCATTTACTACCAAGACAAAAATTCCTTCAAATTACTCTAATTTATATCTTTCTTTGAGATAAAATAAACTAAAAATGATTCATCCTATATTACTAATTAATTAGGTGATTTTTTATTACATTCGTTGAATACACCTCCTAATTTTGCAACACAGACATGTGGTATTTTACCAAATGTATTTTGACTGTGGTCGAAGATATAAATATTAAATGATTTATTATGCTGACAGCTTAATTAATTAATTAGAGTCAATGCTTAATTGTTTTTAAACTGATCATAAACACATTTAAGAAGAAAAATCCACATGCAAGACTTCTGTATTAGAATTTGTCGTTGTCTTTCTAATGTAACTTAATTGAATTTCAGATTGAAATAATCAATAATAAAATTCATGGACGTACCCAAGCAATTGTAAATTCGATGATACACCTAAAATTATTTACACTGGGTGTAGTAAGTAAGAATACAATGAGATTAACCTCACTCATGTTGTCGTCGTTGGTCAACATATTGCAACATAACAGAGGAAAATTAGGGCTAAGAATACTCTCGAGTTCACCTCGTGAACTCATGAAACTACTAAAATATATTCGAAATCGATTTTGAGCTTTTATCGAGTCGGTTACACGCAAAACTTGCTCAACCAGCTCATTTACACTCTTAATCTCACATGTGTATATATATATTCAAGTCGGAGTAAGATTAATCTTTATATTCCCCACTAAAAGATGGCCAATGTGCTTCCATTGTTCGATATGAATATTGAATTGTAGTATTGTATGTGTGCGCAAGAGATTATTTAGCGTAAAAATGAAAACCCCCTCTTGTTTGGATAATTACAACCATTCCTCGACTCCTCAAATTTAGTGAAATCTTCGAGATTATATGGAATATGATCACTTTTATACCCGTTTATCCCATTTGAACTCTACATTTTGAAGCAAGATGATCATAATATGTGTTTTTTGACTTGTATATGTCATATTCTAGTGCATCTGAAACTGTATTTTTACACAAAACGAGTACAAACTAGAGCACATTCCACGAAATCTAGATGATTATGTTGAATCTGACACGATAAGGATGGAGGTGTAAGAAAAAACATAATTGAGGGAGTTAGATGTAATTATCCAAATAAGAGAGCTTTTTTTGTAAATTGGCCATATATCTAGGGGTGTTTGTAATTTACCCTATTATTTAATTAGGAGAATAAATATATAACTATTTTTCTCCTTTGAATATATAAAAATAATAATAATTCTCGTGGGAACGAGAAAAATAATAATTTATGAGGTTAATTAATTAGAGTTGATGGTCAAAGGGAGGAGCCATGTGGATAGTGTCGGGAGCATTGGAACTTGCTATTCAATTCTTTAACCTTATCTACTTTCTTTTATGATGAAGTTAGCGGATACACCTAATTATTTTCATCGAGCGCTTGTTAACCGTAAATCTGAACATAATTATGGTTACATGCATGACACCACTCATGAATTTAGTGGCTGCTTATTTAATTTCGTCCGCGGCTAATAAGCACCCACTATATATATATATAAACAGATGTAGCAACTTACTTAATCTCGTTGATTTCGTTCCAAAATTTTACGAATTTCTTTTTTGGAGAAGAATTTAAGTATTTTTCTGGATGGCCAAGTTATTTATTTATTTTTTTCATTTATAATTAAATTGTTGGGGATTGTATTGACAAAAGTTTATACACTATATATTTAATTAGTTATAAGAATGGTGAGGTAAATAAAATTTGGTTCTACAAAAATATAACTAAATTAATAAATAAAAGGTCATGTGAATATTTTATTTTAGTTTGAAATACGAGTCACAACTCACGAAATTCAAACGAGGTGGAGACATGTGTGTGAAATTGCAGAATGATCCTCAATTTGTCCCCAAATAGCTCCCCACCCACACAAATTGAAATTCCCACCAACCAACTACTATTTATTAATTTAATTTATGCCCCCACTAAATTATAAGATCCTCACATGTGCACCCACCACCAACCTTACAACAAATTTATTTATTTATTTATTTATTTTTATATATATATATATATAAAAGAATTGTTGTCAAAAAGGCCACATCAAGTACACACACAAGTAGGTGAGGTGTAAAGCCAATATTATCAATTTCATTGGACATCAAAGTGTGTCATGATAGTTTGACGAAGTGAAAGTGCAACAAAATTCAAATCAATTTAATTGAATTGACGACCATTATAATAAAGAAGATTCAACTTGATTGATAAAAAAAAGTCGGGAAAAACTAGCGAATTCAGGAATTTTAGTAAAAAACTATTCTTATCCTCGATCAGTTTGTCCGATTCGAAGATGTTTTAAGTAATTAATTACCTTTTGTGATGCCCCACATGAACACTAAACATAGCTTGAGGCATCAATTTGACACTAAAAATAATAGATGTTTTGAAGGTTGGATTTATTTCATGTATTGTTGCTCCATTAACACTAAAAGATTTAAGTATTATTTGTGTTATGATTGTGGTATCACTTATTTTGAGTAATTAACGAGCAATACTAGAATTGTGTAGCTGCATGCGAGCTAATACTTCAAATACAATCTTCTTTCAAAATATATAATAATTTTTATATTGATATAAATTACCTTAATTTAAATTAAATTTTATACACATACTATATTATATTTATTTCACATCAAACGTACACGTGTAGTTGGTTTTAACGCTCTTCTCATTATTATATTACCATAGGCTATTTTTATTTTTTATTTTTTATTTTTTTTCTCTTAAAAATGAAATATAGACTATAGTTAAATAAGCCATGAAAGTCAACCACTATGACAACTTGATTGAAAATTTGGATAAGTTACAAAAAATAGAATTGACTTGTTCCAAATCAAAGTCGCAGGGAGAGAACTCAAAAACCAAAAATATAGAATAGACTATTAGCAAATTTATTATGCAAAACGATGAAATTCATAATTGTTACAAACTTAGTTATACTCATTGAAAAATATAATTAAAATAGAAAATTATAAATAAAAAAATCAATTGTTCATTGAACTCCTAAAAAGGAAGAAGAATAAGAAAACCTTGAACTATAAACACAAATAAATAAAGTAGCACATGAAAATATAAAATATTCAATTCAGAGAGTATTGCAACCGGTTGCGAAAAATATATTTGTCTATATACCTAATTATAGTTCATCCTAAAAAGTTATACTCATAGTTGTTTTTCCAAATTTTAACCGTTTTAGATTAAATTGATTATTCAACACTTAGGTGGTGTTTGCAAAAGCTTACTAAAAAACATAAGTTAGTGATTGTGAATTAAGTAGGTATTAAATGTTTATTTCTAAAAGTTGGAGTGTTTGCAAATATATTGGAAAATCAATATTAAAAAAATAGCTTAAAGCAACTTAATTTTAGAAAAACAAAAGCAAAAACTGATTTAGCTAACACCTAACAACAAATTAGAGCTATGAAAAGCTCGAAAGTTGTTTCTAAAAACTTTTGCAAACACCACCTTACTCTTCGTACTGCAAAACTCTCTAAGGATTTTAAATGTCACTCAAGCAAAACGATATTAAGGCAAAAACAAAATTATATTGGATGGGACACAAAAGCATTCTAGACAAAAGGGATCTAAAATAAGCAATCAAAATTGAAATTAAGCACTCAAAATTGGTATTGTGATGGAGCATAAGTGGATTGGTACTATGAATAAGCAATATTTTCAATAGCTTCAAAGGTGGAAATTGAATTTGCTAAAGTAGGAACAAGAAGTGAGGGGTGATTGACCCAAATTAAACCATGTCTATATCTAAAATGGGAAGGTTCAAGGCATCACTTGAGCAATAATCCAACAACTTACCACCATTATCATCAATAAAAGGGTCCCTCCATTCTCAAAAACAAAAAAAAAAAAAAAAAAAAAAAAGAAGAGAGAGAGAATAAAGGAAGAAAGAGAGAAAAAAAAAAAAGGTCCCTCCAATTTCCCAACTTGTGATTGTTTTGATGCCATTTTGAAGCCTATCACATCCCACATTCTTTGAAACTCATTTGATACTAGCTCACTTTTGTGTGCATTTGGTTTGTTTGGGATCACCTTTATGCATAATCAATCTAAACAAGAAAATCTTATCTTTAAAGTTGGTCGAGAGTAGGTGACAACAAAGTCGAAAAGACCTCCGTTTGAATCTGCACTCATAGCAGCTTATCCAGTGCAATCTACCTATCGGGTGTGGTTTGCACAAGTAGAATTTACCTAGTGCATATATTGATCGACTAACAACGTATTCATCGATCGGTTGGATGGTGATGGTACTGTATTAGTTGAAGTCATTGAGTTAATCATGTATGTATAAACAATGTCCTACACCATAATGTACATTCACTTGTCTTTTTTCATGTGATAAACAGTGAACTTTTGAAATTGGTTAAAAAGGACATGGAACTTCTAAAAAGTGATTAAAATTGGTACTGAAAAACTAAAACGATGGTGAAGATCGACTGAAATTTAGCATATAACTTTTAAAATTTAGCAGCAAACTGCAACAGCGAACTTATATAGCCGCAGCGCACCATGCAATGTTCACAGTCGTATCGTTCAGTGGTTGCACTTCTTTCGTTCCCAATGACTTGACTAATAATAATACAGGGGTGTTTTTCAAAATAAACAAGCAAGAAACTTTTATTTTTAACATAAAAATAAACGTGTCCTTTTTCGTTAATTAAATTATATATGAACACTTCTCAAAAAAGATATTACATTTGAAAAACTTTTTGCAAATTCTCCATGAAATGCCATCTAATTTGGAAGAACGCATAGAACATATCTGCATTGTATATTTTGCCAAGAAAGTCAAGTTACATGATCAAATTTCTTCATCAATTTGCACCAAATAAACCAAAACTTTGCTCACTATTTCCAGCAAGTTGGAGTCGACAACAAACTGAGTTATTTTTCCGCTTTGAAAATTCTTCCTTTCGATCAACAACGACACTTTTTCAGTAGCAAAATTCGAGATCAGAAAAGTCAATTTTGAGCACATTCCAACCATATCATTAAACTTCTAAGCCAAGAAAAGACAGACAACACCTCAAAAGCCTCGGCAACACAGTTGCAAGAAAATGATGAAAAGCTAAAAAAGAAATTACGTTTGTAAAATTTCTCTAATCGACTTTCGAATCTCTATGAGAAAAAACAATCGAAATTTTATCTCTCCTTATATATTTTGACTCCTACAATAACAAATATTTTCACTAAAATACAAATAAGCATCAATTTATTGTTTAAATTATGACTAAGAACTACTACAACATAATATCATCAATATTGGTCAGCCATTCATCTATGGCTGGCCCATCTGACCTTTCCCGCAATGTCATTTCTTTCGTTTCAACAAATCAAAAACACACAAAATCATGTCGATCTTCAAAGAAACGAGGCGAATTTTGTAATGATTAAAACTAATAATTTATAGCGTAAAACTAACTCAAATGAGGATACTATACAAACACTAAAACAAACTTCCATCTCACCGTAACATATGTGCCTAAAGCAGAAACGCAAAAAAAAAATTTACATCAGTAGAATATCACAAAGAGAAAGCTCATAAATACAGTAAAACCGACGACAAGAAAATTTGAGATCTTTCAGATATTAATAGTAAAACCGACGACTAGAAAATTTGAGATCTTTCAGATATTAATAGTAAAACTGACGACTCGGAAATACATTAGCCACGCTTTAACGGCTTCACAGTTTTCAACTAATACAGCAGCTAAATGAAAAATAATACTACCCCTCGTATATAAAACAAAGATCGACTTGTAGAAGTATAACGGCAGTGCTTAGTCGTAGGGTGAGAGAAGAAAAAGAAAATGGCAGAGTTTGCAATTGATGATGCTCAAACACCGACCGTATGAAACATCAGACACGGACCGTATGAAACAAATAATGTATTAAATTAAAGCAGTTTGCACATAATCTTGTTCAATTTTATTCTTCTCCAACAAAAATCGGACAATGTTCACATAGAGAAACCTTCATATTCGGAGACGAAAATGACTACAACAACATAATTCAAAATTTTATCTCGGAGTTTACTATTCTATTAAATAAAGAAGATAAAAAAAAAATCATAATCATCCGAATCGATCACATTATGCTATGTACATGATTCAACATGCTAAGTATGAAACAACTTAATAAAAATACAAGACAGCCAATTCGAACAGTCAACATCTATCGTGTATAAACGCTTATGTTTTTTTTCGTTTATTCAAACTCGACTCCGATAAACAAAGATCAAAATTTCTCAGATGATTTTGCAACCTAACATAACTTACTCAAATAATTTACTCAGATTTTTTCTCTCTGTTTTTATTCCCATACACCAATCCAGTTTCCTGCAATAAATATTCAGACCAAATAAATAAATAAAAAATCCCCAAATTTCATAAAATCAAAATTTCGCCGGAGAACATGAAAATTCAGATTACCTGAGGATCGGGAATCGGTTTTCTCTTCTCAACGTAGCGATAACGGTCGGATTCCGCCGCCAACGCCGCCTTTTCCTGAAAATCCGGCATAGAAAATCAAATTCAGAAGAAGAAGAAGAAAAATCAAATTAAACACAAATTGAAGACGGATGTTTTGCCTGTTGTTCTCTCCGGAGCTGCTGAGAAGGTCGGATCCATAGGTAATAAGCTAGGGTTCCGGCGACGACCCAGGAAGCTAAACTGCTGCTGCCCCTCAGACCGCCCATTGAATTGCCGACAAAGGACCTCGCATTTCCGAAAGCTCTGCTCCAACCGCCGCTTGACATTTGAGCTGAAATTCTGCTTCGAAATTCGATTGTAAATTCAGATTAGGTTTTGAGGGAATTGGGGATTTGGTGAGAACATCAAATCTACAGTTGAATTTCTTGGTCACCAATTTACAGTTTTCAGAGTTGGAGGTGAGAATAATCGAAAGAGGTTAAAAAATAATCCACTGTGGTCAAATTAACCTGTACCTCTTTCACGTTTGACGTGGCACAATATTATTGGTCTTTTAATTTCTGGTTTATGTACCAAAAGCTAAAAACTATGTACGTGAGTAAAACAAAAAGGATTTTTTTTTTCTTTTTTTGAGCAAGGATGATTAATTAGTTTGCAACTGAATTTCAATTTTCGTCTGGTTCTTATCCAAGATGTTATGATTTGGAATAATTTTTTTCATTCTGATTTTTCTTTTGATTGAACTTCAAAATATTTCTTTCGATTTTCGATACGATTTAATTTTTGAAGTTAACTCCGAAAATTCCGACTTTTGCCAAAAAATATATTTTTAATATGTTATTTTATTTTACTTAAAGTGAAATAATTGAAGTATTTACATACATTTTTGGCCATATTTGGGGAGCCAAAGTATTTTATTGTTGTTTCTCGCGTAAAAAAACACTGGTTTCTTCCTTAGTTTTCACTTTTACTATTCGAGAGTTTAGAAATTTTCCGGTTTTTGAAAATAGATGTCTAAAAACATATATCTAACGTAATTGAAATCATTATGAGCGTTTTTAAAATATTAGAATTTATTATATGAGTGCCTACTGCAATTGAAAATATTATAGGTATTTTTAAAATATTAAAATTTTATCGTACGAGTAATTTTAGTTCTATGATTTTATGAAACATGATGTCCTTATTTTTTAAATTTATGAAAGTTGCGAATTTAAAAAAAAAAATGTTGTAATGTTTGAAATCTCCCCAACTTTAAAAAAATGGGCCGAATCTTGAAAAGCCCATATCATACTTGGTATTTTGGAAAATACAATTTTTTTTCCAAGTGAAAAACTAATACGAAATAAAAAATAAATTAGTATTTTCGGATTAGGGGGATGGGATTTTTTGCATAATTTACAAGTATATATATATATATATATATATATATATATATATATATATATATATATTCGAATTTGATCGAAACAAACTGGAGAAATTGGGGCTTGATTAGATAAAAATGATAAAATATCCAGCAAAATTCAAGCTACTCAAGCTTGATTCATGTTCGGCTAAATTAAAGCTCGTTCGAAATCGACAAAGTTGCTTATCTAACATAGTTCAAGCACAGTTTTAAAAGCTCGCTAATAAAATATAAACATTAGAAAAATATATATTTATTAAAAAAATAAACTTATAATATATAATATTAAAACAAAAACTGTAAATTTTTATATATTTCACATATCGTGACATTTATATAAGAGAAAGAAACAAAAAAAAAAATTGCCATTAAAAGACAACATTTGATTTTGTCTTTAATTGTGGTGTTTGATGGATGTGATTTTCGGATTTATAGATAATTAATTAATTTCTCCAGTAATTAAACAGAAAAGTAGCAAAGACTGAAATAACCCCAACTCTAAGCAAAATTGCAAAAATAAGCCTCTAAATTATTGTTTGATTCCATGTGATTTGAGTAGTTAATTGTGGGGTTAATCCTCGTTAATTGTGATTATAAAAGTGTAACAATGTGATGTGATGCCATCGGAAGAGTTAATTATTGTATTATTTTTGAGATATTGCCAAATTATCATGAGCTGGGAATCAATCCATTTATTCAAAATTAATAATCTTTTTTACCATATTAAATTGGAGAAAATGACCATTAAGATGCTCATAATGTTGTGTATTATTATATTCTATTTTGTTGGGTCTTTTTTATTATTATAATACACAAACATAGGATATAATTGTTTTGAACTTGTACTTATGCATTATAAAAATAATTTGTTTTTTATATTTATGATTGACAGTATTGTATTAAAAATTGTGTTTGCTTTCTATCTCTAGAATTAATTATGCATAAAGATTTTAGACCGCCTCCACCTTGAAGATCGATTAATTGGTCGTCTCGACCAATTTTTAGAACACTGCTAAATATATGCTATAAGTTCTCTAGGAGTAGACAATTTTGTATTACTTGGAAAATAAAAATAAAAAGTCTACTCAAAGACTAGGTTAACAAAAAGATTATACAACATATTTTTTGGTGATTTTATATACCATTCCAATTCCATTCCAAATAAATTTTGAAATCGGCACTTCGAAAATCAAAATGAAAATTACGGTTCCAATATGGATATTTTCGAATCAGAATTGGCTGAATTCGAAAATTCCATTCCAATTTCCAGCCCTAATTGTGGGGGACTATGGCCTAATTATTTATTATTATAAAAATAATTTTCCTTTAACCACCACTACCACCACACACATGTTATATGAACAAGTAGAGCAAAATTGGTGGCACACTAAAAGGACAAGACTTTTCTTGCTTATTTTCTCCGAGCTGATATTCTAACATATACGTGTATAAATTCGTACGTCATGTGTAAATTGTACACGAATCAAAAGTATAAAATAAAACTATATGTCCGGTGTATTTTACCTGGTGTAGCTTTACATAGTTGGACAATAAATAATAGCAAGGACACTAAATTTGTCATTCATTTGGGAAATACATAATTTAAAAAAATAAAAATAAAATAACATACACACACAAACACACAATAAAGTCATTCTTACCATTGAATCCAAACTCTAAGAAGCCCCACACATAATTAATTACAAAGAGACCACTAAACTTTTTGAACATAAAATTTGACCAGGTTCAATGATAATCTACACAATTACTCAACCTGTACAAAAAACAAATTGTTGCATTACAAAATATTATAGAAATGATTTATTGTAATATATTTAAATCGAATACCTGGGAGTTTCTGTCTAAACCCTAGGAACCGATTTTGGTGATGTCTCTGCTCGATCGATTATATTTCATGTGACTTTTAACGAGCTGTCCGGCTGAAATGGCAGACATTAGAGAGAGCTCACCTGCCAAAACTGAACCGGCAACAATGGTCGCCAAAAGCCGGGAATTAGAACCAGGTGACTCTTTGTTAGCACCCTTTACTCCGAGAAGGTTTAAACAAGCAGATTGCGATGCCAATTGAGTTCCACCTCCAACGGTTCCAACCTATAACGGAAACAGCAATCGCGTTTTCAGAATATTGATACGCAATTTACCATACAAAAACGTATAAAGGTGTCTCTAGATTAATATAATCATACTTCGGTTTTTTTTTTTTTTTTTGCAAGCGGGAAAATCGGAAATTGGAATGAAGAACTTGTTCCAAATTCGAAAAATTTCGGAGATTTTACAATTTTTAGGTCACCTAAAATATAAAATGCATAATCAAAATTTTCGGAATTATTTCCGTAAATTAAAATCCGAAATGGGAATTTCGGAAACTCGAATGAAAAAACTTGTTCCGAAATTGGAAATTTTCGGAAGGAATTCAAAATTTCCAACCTTCTAGTCATCTAAATATAAAATGCATGATAGTTATAAAATGCATGATAGTATTGTTGTTATAATTTATAATTGTAGTTTTCGGAAAAACAAATCGGACTTTTCGGAATTATTCCCGAAATTAAAATCGAATTCGGAAATTGGAATCTCATAATATATATTCCAAAATTCTAATTCAAAAATCGGAATGAATGTTCCAAATTCAGAAAAAAATCCGGATCGGAATCGGCGGAAATCAGAAATTACGTTCTAATTTCCACCCCTAATACCGATACACAATATACCATACGAAGAAAAATAAAGGTCCGTATATTTCAGATTTATATTGTTTTCTCAATAGACGGCATAGTAAATATAACAAATTAGCGACAGTACACGAATTATGATGTTGATAAAATAGTACCTCAATAGACGGCATCGTAACCGAGATGTGAAGATCCTTGCCATTATTAACAGGCTCCATCATAGTAATACAGTGAGAGCTTTCGATGTTTTGAGCTGGATCTTGTCCAGTAGCTATAAATACTGCGGAGACTATATTTGCGGCGTGTGCATTGAAGCCGCCAAGAGCTCCGGCAATGGCAGAGCCAGTGAGATTCTTGAGCATGTTCAGCTCGACGAGGGCCGGTACGGTGGTTTTCAACACCTTTGCCACCACATCACCACTAATAACAGCCTCGCATACTACTGATTTTCCACGCCCTTCGATCCAGTTCACTGCAGCTGGTTTCTTATCGGAACAGTAGTTTCCTAAACAACCAAAAAAGACAAAGTTACTCATAAACGACAAAAGAAAACGGAAAGCAAAATATTGATTGCATGCACCGAAAGTCGTAATAGCATATGATAATCTTTCTAGTATAAGACAAACTGTAGTATAGTAACAACAAATATTTTTTGGAATTTTCCGAATGATTTCTGGAAATTAAAATCCTGATCCATAATCGGAATCTCATAATATATGTTCCAATTGCAATCCAAAAAAATGGAAAATAGACTGGAATTTAAAAATATTGTTATAAAATCGGAAAAATTTCGGATCGAATCGGGAGAAATCAGCAATCCCGTTCCAACTTCCACCCCAAAAACTAGGAGTGGAAATTGGACAGATCATATCGGAATTAGTATTTTCGGAAAAATTGCGAATTTTCTTTTGAAGTAAATAACTAATTCCAATTCCGTTCCAAAAAAAAATATCGGCAAGATCAGAAATCAAAATTTCTAAAATTGGAATGAAAAAGCTTATTCCAAATAAATAAAAAAAATGCCTATTGGATCGGCAGGACTCGAAAAGTTCTAATTTTTAGTCAACCAATATATAAAATGCATAACAATATTAATATGATAACTTTAATTTTTCGCGGGAAAAACTCGGAATATTTTTGGAAAAAAAAATCAGAATTGTTGGAATATTTTCGTAAATTAAAATCGGATTGGAAATCAGCATCTCATATATATTCCAATTCCGATCCAACAAAAAAAAATCGAAAAAAGAAAAAACAAAAATGGAGTTTCCGGATTTCAGAATGGAAAATATTGTTCCAAAATCGGAAAAATTCGGATCGTAATCAGCAATATAGCACTCACCGGAAATGCCAATAATATCCATATCGGGGAAATCGTTCTCGAGAAAGTCCAACACATTTTGAACTCCTTTAGAAACCATGTTCATCCCCATAGCATCACCTGTGCTGCATCTGAATCTTATGTACAGATTTTTTCCAGCAACTGCACAATTTATACCCTGTAGTCTTGCAAATCTACTTGACCTGAACAACGATTAAATCGATTCAATATTTTATCCGATTTCGATTATAAGAATTCAAATTACACCAATCCACATCAGATTAGCTCGAATCCAAACAAACAAGATGACATGCATTGATATAAATTGAACCAGATTGGTCAATTTTCAACTAATTACAAAATCGCTTACTTGTTGAAAACGACAGACAACGTATCGAAATTGAGAGGATCTTCGAGGAAGAATTTCAATTCCGACGCTCTTTTTGCCGACGAAAACCTAACAACCGGAGCTCTGGTCATGCCGTCTCGGAGAAGGACGCAGGTTGCGCCGCCGGATGCGTAGATCGCCTTGCAGCCTCTGTTTGTGCTCGCCACCAAGCAACCTTCGGTGGTGGCCATAGGCACAGAGAATTCGCATTCGTTCAGCAAAAGGGGGCCAACAATCCCCACCGGAATCTGCACATACCCCACCGGCATCTCGCAGCACTGCCCTAAAATTGAGTCGTAATCGAATCCTTCCAAAGGCAAACCCTCGACGGACCTCCCCGCCAGCCGCTGCACCGCCTCGCGGCGGATTTTGGCCGCCTTGTAGCAGTCGCCGAGCCTCGATTCCAGAGAGTACGACGGGATTTCGCCGGAGACGACGCATTTCACGAGATCCTCGTCGTCTGGAGGAAGTTCTGCCGCCGTAGGGGGTTTCTCCGGCGGCGGAGGAGAACAGTGGATGCTCCGATCTTCGTGGAGGACGAACTGGTGGTGGTCGTCGTCGGTTTCGGATTTACAGATGAACGATTGGACGAAATCAATGCCGAAGAAGCCTATGAGGTAGATGAAGGAGGCGACGAGGCAGATGATTCCGGCGAGTTCGGAGAGAGTGAGGACGTGGAGGAGCGGGGTGGAGTTACGGATCTTGTCGCGCCACCGGTTGAGGAGGAAGTATGCCACGGAGAAGAAGAGCGTGAAGAAAATGCCGTTGGTTAGGTACAGAGGCAGCGGGAGAGCGTCGGAGGCTTTAGGAGACGACGATCGGCGATCGACGACGGCGGCGGCGGAGGCGGAGGCGGAGGAGCCTTTAGTGTGTGAGGGTTTGACTGGCCTCCGGCGGACTTCCATAACTGCGGCGGCGGAGAGAGAAAGAGGGGTAAAAACTGAAAAAAAAAAAATGGAAAATAAAAATGGAGAAGGGGCGGTGGAGCGATGGTTGCGGGGGTTTGTTTGAATTCTTTATAGTGAGAGAGTGGCGGAGCATCAAATAAGTGCTGCCATTTTTCGTTTTTGTCTTTTTTTGCTGATATTTCTCCTCCAATTGCGTTCTATTGCAATTACCGTAAATTACATCTACACCCCTAAAGTATGATAAAATAACTTTAAGGTCCATGTGGTATTGGTATTCAAGATTTCAAGTTGTGAGGACCGATGTGCACTATTTTGTTTCTCGCGGGGTCGTTAATGCTACCATAGACAAAAATTTATAAATTTTCTATAGAATAATAAGAATTTAAGAAATGTTAGAAGAGTCATATCATCCATTAAATCTATGTTGGCTCCACCACTGCCTGAAAGGCTGAAACTAATAGACTGTTATAATTCTAATGGAATAATTTATTCAATGCATTATTATGTTAGGGTTTCTAACAATGTTTCAGGGGGCGATTGTAATTACTGATACTATATGGATATTTATGTTATTTTAGCAGACTACAGGGGTGTAGGTGCAATTTACCCTTATGATTATATATAATTCCTTTTTCTTCTAGAAACAAATATGCCTAGTGGTGGTGCTCTTCCCTAATTAGAGAAATAAAGAGAAAATTGCTTCCAAATATAACTACAATTGAGAAATTATTACTTACATTATCACAAATGATTTTGTTAATTTGCTTAACTGTTAGGAATTTACTTACTTCATTTGTTAAAATCTTTGTGATTTTTCATTTTTATCATTATTATATTGGTTGAATTTAGCTCTCGAACGATAGTTTGCAAACTATAAAAGAGTTGTTATGTAGCACGGAAATTGAAATGGTTATATAGGGAAACAGGAAACAACATATCTAAAAAATGAGGACACGGGAACTTGGGAGAAACGTGTAAACATTAAAAGTATAGGCGTATAATTATAAATATATTATATAGTCATATATAATTTTTATTTATATGTAAATCCTTTTATGTATTTGGATACAAATATTTTCAAAACAAATATTATGTTCAACTATCGATTTGCAATTGATCATTAAATCATGTAAATAACTAGGGAGGCAATAAAAATACTTAAAATTTTGCTCTTCAAACATGTTTCTAAGTTTGTAAAAATTACAAAATAGTTCATAAGGTATCCGGTCCAGCAGGTGCCCTTGAATGTCGGACATGAAACATGTCCGAAGCACACAAACGTTAAAAAGTTAGAACTTTCGTATTACATAGAAAATATGTAAACCAAGTAGTTATAAGTTGCAGTCTCCCTTCCTTAAAAAAAAAATCATATTCTCTTATTCCACCAATAGAGCATTCTTGCTAATTAGAATAATTTTGAGGTTAATTTTTTTTTTTTGAAGTTAATTAATTAGTAAAATTAAAAGAAATTCAAATGGGTCAACAAGCCTATTTAGGCGAATATAAATTTATTTTTTTAATCTCAATTTGAACTACTTTTATGTTGTGTTGTATTTTATATCCACTTAGATTAGAGATCATTATTGAAGAGAGTTGGAAATTATTAATATAGAATAAGAGATTAGATTATTTAGAGTGATTTGTTGGCAAGATTAATAAAATAATTGCAAGTCTTAAACGTAATCACCCTTTGATTAGCATAGGTAGCTCATTCACTCCAAAATTTACATGCTATACTATGGGCCTATGGCTCATTCAATTTATTGGTCAACACAACATTTTTAATTAAGCCCGCCACCTAAATCTCAAGAAAAAAAATTAAGTTTTAGGAGATGAATTTTATATATTTTAGACATATTACTTTTGTTAATGTAATTTTATTCAAAATTTATAAATATTTACATGTATTATTGTCACTTAACTTGTTTTGCATTATATAATACTCACACCATTTCTTTTTAAGTGTCACTTTAGCCATAATTTTATTTTTCATATTAAGTGTCACTTTAGAATTTCAAGATAAGACAATTTTACCCTACAATTAATGAGAGATTAATGAACTTATAAATAAAGATTTAGAGCCACAAAATGGCTAATTTTGTAAAATATGAATTATTTTCCCTGAAATCAAGAATGTGTATTAACTTTTTAATTGGTGTGCATTAACCTTAAATGACACTTATTTTGAAACTGGGGGAGTAACATATTTAAGTTTTGTTCTGATTGAACAATACAAAATGCAATTGAATAAATAGCATAAGTTAGTAACAAATTTGATTAACAAAATTTGTTCTATTCTACCTCAAATCTTCATGAAAAACGTAAATAGCGTGTAACTAAATGTGACTATCAATCGAAATAATAGAGAAAACGTGTTTTATTTAATGTCACACCCGATGAAATACACTGGGCGTTATTAACCCGATAATTACACACGCCGACGTTATTTAATCCCATCCTCGTTGGCAAAGGGCATCTCCCGACACATTAATCACAATAAAGATGACGTGTCAACAAAGAAAAAAACAATAAACATTTGACCCAAAGAAAATTGGAAAAAAAAAAAAAAAACGAATATTAACAAATAACAATAACATGTGTTGCAAATTGATGGTGTCATAAAGTTAGCTTGATTGTAACATTTCACCAGGTGGTCTCGTCTTCGCATGCACGTGTTTATTCCCTGCCCTAAAATCCACGTCACCTCAGACACACCCAAATTAAATTATATTATACATATTAAATAAATAAATAAACACACGCGTACAATATACGTAACTCCACTCGCTGAACTTCTTATAATATATAGTATTTTTTGTAATTATGTTTAATATATTTTATTTTTTTAATGTTTCATATTAATCAGTGCATGTGTCACTACTTTCCAAAATACTAATAAATTTTGTTTTGTGCATTAACTCTTCAAAGATAAAACATGATTTGTAATTTTTAAATTTATTTCCTATTAAAAATTGAATGATTTTTTTTCATTTTTTTTCTTTTTTTTTTTATGAATTATGCTTTTTTTTTAGCTTACAAGGTACTCCCTCCATTCCGATTAAGTGTCGTTTTGGCTTTGCACAATGATTAAGAAGCTCAATAAATGTGTTTTGATTTTAAGTAAAATATATTAGAAAGACTAAAATAACATTGATTATTTAATGATGTGATAAGAGAGAGTTAATACTTATAATTGAATTAAGGGTTTATTAGAGATAACCCCCTTGTTCATATTTTCTAATGAGGTAGATCCAATTAAATTTTCCCTTTTTGATATACACCCCAATATGCCAACTTGACACAATATATTATTTAATTTCCCTTTAATACCCCTGCTTTATTTTTGAACGGCATTTATTTCCTTAACTACATGATATGAGATTGCTGATACGTTGCCTAAAATCACGGAATAAAATTACGCGAGTATATTGGCGGTTTCGTTGGGCCAAATTACGTGAGTTTGCCAGATTTGCTGCCCAAGTATTTCAAGCACAACAATTTCTCCAGTTTCGTTCGGCAACTGAATACTTACGTGAGCTTTTGCTAATCGAATCCTTCGATCTGTAACGAGGAATTTTGGTTTTTTTTTTTTTTTTTTCCCGGTTATTGATTGAGTTGCTTATCTGATGATTTTTTAGGGATTTAAGAAGGTTATGCCTGATCGGTGGGAGTTCTCCAATGAATGCTTTCGAAAAGACGAGAAAAGGTTGTTGTGCGAAATCCAGCGCCGGAAAATTGCTACGCCGCCGCCGACCGCGGCGGCGACGCTGTCTGCGGCGGTGTCAGAGCACCTCACTCCAGCTGCACCACAGCAGACGGTGTCTCCGTCGGACTCCGGCGAGGAGCAAGTACTTTCCTCATCTAATTCACCCGGCACCGTCCGCGAGTTCAACGGAAGCACGGCGGAGCTAATCGGAGAGAACGAGGTCTAGGTGGAGGTGACGATCCGCAGCGGAGGAAATAGGCGCCAGATTGTTCGGGGATGATAGCGACGAGGACATAAACTCAATGAATTCAAATGATTCCGATGGTTGTTATTTTCCAAACCACCCTAAGATTTGATATGTTTAATTAATGTCGTGTTTACGATGTAATGGCTCGGTAACTTCGGTTAAGTGTTAAACCGTGTAATACAGTAATATACTATTATGAATACCGTATGACACTACCATTATCATTTTATTATACTATTATGAGATTATTAATGTACTAGAGTTTTTTAACTCGACATATTGGTTTGATTGTGTTATGATGTGTTTTAAGTATTTTATCAAAACCCTAGATTGAAATTATGAGATTATTAATGCACTATTTTATTGGTTATGTTGGAATTACTTTACGTTGGTTTTGTTCTCAATGTTCTTGTCATTTCAGTGGTATATTGTTTGTAACACAATTTCATATCACTACTATAACCGTAATATACTATCATAGCAGATTAATGTACTATATGAAATTATTAATATACTATGTGGTTGAATAATACGGAATCCATAGTCGATTAACGAGATCCATAGTCGAATTAGATCAATGAGATAGTCTATTACATGATATGGGATAGTCTAACAATATTAAAACACAAATCCGCCGCCATCACTTATCAGATCTAGGATTTTGTTGATTCTTCGGCCCAATAGTCAAATAACTAAACCCATAGTCGAATTAGATATATGGGATAGTCTATTAAATGATATGAGATAGTCTATTAATTTTAAAACACAAATCCGCCGCCGTCACTTCTCAAATCTAGGGTTTTGATGATTCTTCGGCCCATAGTCGATTAACAAGATCCATAGTCAAATTATATCAGTGGGATAGTCTATTAAATGATATGAGATAGTCTATTAATACAGATGTAATTTGACTATGCATGTCGTTAATCAACTATGGGCCGAAGAATTATCAAAACCCTAGATTTGAGTAATCCTAGATTTGAGTAACCCTAGTTTGGAGCAGTGACGGCGGCGGCGACGGCGGCCAACGACGATATCACTCCTAAATTGATTATTACGACCTTGGAGGCGGGAGCGGCGGATGTCTTGGTCGTTTTTGGCGGTCTTGGAGGTAGAGGTGGTCGGATGTGGTGGTGGTGGAGGACTAGGCGGTGGTGGAGGTGTTGCTTATGGCCAATATCGTTGTTATCGTCGTTGGCCACCGGCGACAACAGTGACGGAGGTGGCGGCGGTCGGAGGGAAGCGGCGAACCCGGCGGGAAAATAGGGAGGGATTTAGGAGTGCAGAAAATCGTCAATCGCCGGTGTATAAATTTCTTGTTTTCTTTGGGACGTTTGCAGATTTTGGTAGTGAGTTTGTGGGGATAGTGTTTTAACGGGAAAATAGGGAGGGATTTGATATTATTTCAAAAGGTAAAGTAACGGGATTTGTGGGATTTGATTGAGGGTACTGATGTAATTTAGAAAAATATGGGTTTTTATCAAAATGACAAATTTGAGTTTGGGTCTACCCTTATTATTTGTAAGACTAAGGGGTTATATCTAATAGACCCTTGAATTAATACGGTTAAAACAGGAAAAAATGCATTTAATGCAGTATTGGAAATCTAAAGTGATAGTTAATATGGAACAAAAATATTTTTAAAAAGAAACAGTTAGTGTGGAACATATGGAGTACGAAATAACATAAAAAGAAAAAACAGATTTATTTGAAAAAATGATTATGGGCCTTCTATGTTATATTACAAATTATTCATTTTTTGACTGGAATTGATAAGAAATATTTCAACCCGATTCATTCGATTTGATCCTAATGTGATAGTATACCAACGAAGGTAACTATTCCGATTTTATCGAAGTTACAGATTTTTTTTTTTTTTTTTGAGAAGAAGTACAGAATTGAGTAACTCGATAAATTTTGATTGAATTATGATAGAAAGGTATTTAAACTTGGTCTAAACAAGTTTAAGGCAAGACAAAGTGCAATTTCGCCTAATTAGAGACAGAGAAAAGAGAGGAGAAAAATTAACTTCTAGAAAAGAGCACATGTTTTTTTTAGTACAGTGTCAATTTGGATTTGGTTTTGATTGTGATCGAAAATTGGACTAATTGGAACCAAAATCGGAATGTAATCGAATCGAATTCTTTTCATCAAGTCAAAATGGATTTGATTTCCCTAAATTGTAATTTCCACGTGTCTGATTTCCACCCAGGCATATCGCGCACACACACAGATAGAGAGAGAGAGTGACGTCATGGATGACGCAAGCGTACGAAGCCACCTGGAAAATAAAATGATCGGAGGCGGTGCATCGTATATATGCGGTGGTGGTGGCAGAATTAATCGGCTGTATTATTTTTCCAAATATTTTTATTTTTAATTGAAGGAATTACAAAAAAATGGCAGGAAAAAATAGCAGCGTAGTATGTGTAACAGGCGCCGGTGGGTACGTGGCTTCATGGCTGATCAAGCTTCTCCTTTCTCAGGGCTACACCGTCAATGGCACCGTCAGAAACCCTCGTCTCTCTCTCTCTCTCTCTCTCTCTCTCTCTCTCTCTCTCTCTCTCTCTCTCTCTCTCTCTCTCTCTCTCTCTCTCTCTCTCTATTTTTTGTTAATTTTAGTATTCAGTTTTAGTAATTGTTTGATTATTATTCTGCCATATTTGATTTTTGTTTAATATTTGGGGATTGAGTAGGTCAGTACGGCTGCAAATTGGAACGGAATTTTTCGATTTTGGAACAATACTATTCATTCCCAATACTATTTTCCAAATTTTCTCTTTTTTTTGGATTAGGGTTCCGACTTCCGATTTCCGATCTGATTTTAATTTCGAATATAATTCCAAAAAATTCGATCCGAAAAATTACACTTAAATAGTGTCAACGTTATTATGTATTTTTATGTTATAGGTGAATACAGAAAAATGACATTTCTGATTTCCACCGATTCCGATTTTGGAATGACTTTTTTCATTTCTATTTCCGAAATTCAAATTTGGGATTTTTTTCGAAATTTTCGGAATGGAGTTTGAATTGGTTTTTTGCTTCCGGAAAATTGAATTTTTTGCGGAAGTGTAAATTCCGATCCGATCTGTCTGAATTCCACCTATACGTGTGGTTATTGTTTGATTTGAAGGTTTAATTGTTGTACTTTTGCTACCAACTATAAGTTTCCTTGTTTTTTTTTTTTTTTTTTTTGCAGGAGATGAAAAAAATGTTCATTTGAAAAAACTCGAAAATTCAGCCGAAAGGCTGAAAATCGTAAAGGCAGATTTACTGGATTTCAACTCCGTTTTTGCGGCTGTTAAAGGATGTGACGGAGTGTTCCATGTTGCGAGTCCAGTTCCTCCAGGCTCCGTTCCAAATCCAGAGGCATGTTTAATCAACTCTCGACTTCAATCTCAAATTGTATTAATTAATAGTTTAGAGTTTGTTAATTAATTGTGATTTTCGGAGGAAAGTTCATGAATTTGAGGCTTGTTTTAAGTTGCTTTTTTAGCAAACATTGTAGTCAAAATCGGGATTTTGATAAAAAAAATCAGAAGCAGATTGTAACTTCGTAATGGTGAAATCGTAATTAATAAGTCAAATACGAAATAACTTTTCGGACATAAGTAAAGCATGTGTGATTGGTTTTTGGTGTTGATTTATTGGATTAGTCATTCGTCTTTGTTGTTCGTTGCATCATAGTATTCTATTTATTCATTTATTTTACTTTTTTATTTTTTTTAATGATCATGTGAATAATGGTACAGGTGGAATTGGTTAAGCCTGCTCTAGAAGGTACTATTAACGTACTCAAAGCATGCTCCGAGGCGAAAGTGAAACGAGCGGTAATCGTTTCATCAGTTGCTGCAGTTTACATGAACCCAAAATGGCCCAAGGATCGAGTAATGGACGAGACTTGTTGGTCGGACATTGAATACTGCAAGGCCAATAACGTAATTTTGCTCGCCCCCTTAAAATTCAATTTCATTTACAAGATTTTTTATTGCTTTTTTAGATCAAGCTCGATTTTTTTCTTACACGTACATGCATACAGCAATGGTATTGTGTTTCGAAGACAGTGGCGGAAGCCGAAGCTTGGGAATATGCAAATAAAACGGGGCTTAATGTCGTCACTTTGTGTCCGACGCTCGTTTTGGGACCTATGCTGCAGCATGCAACAAACGCTAGCAGTTTGGCTCTCGTTAAGATATTGAGAGGTATATTTTGTTCCGTATAAGGATTAGATTCATCGATCAGAAACTACCGTATAAATGGACTTCGTTTGAAAATTCGGTTGTCTGAATTGTTTTTCAAAAGAGTCTGAATTGACTTACGATATAATATAACGTCTCTTTCTTAATTGATTAATCACGCAGAAGGATATGAGGAAACGGAAAACAACCTCCGGAAAATAGTAGATGTGCGCGATGTAGCCGAGGCCTTGAAATTAGTATATGAAAAACCCGAAGCTGAAGGTAGATACATATGCACAGCCCACGCGATCAAGAATCGGGATTTAGTTCAAACTCTCAAGGAAATCTATCCGAACTATAACTATCCCAAGAGGTAGTAATTTTTCCTTCAAAGTAGTAATTTCTCCTTTTTTTCTCTTTTCTTCGAAATAATCTCGTTTCTTGTTGATTTTGCAGCTTCAAAGATGGGGGAAATATGTCAGAAGTGAGTTCAGAGAAGCTGCAAAGGCTTGGCTGGAAGTATAGGCCATTGAAAGAAACTCTTGTGGACTCTGTTGAGAACTACAAACAGGCTGGGCTTTTGCACAATTGAATACATCACTCGATTCTCATCACTCGAATCTTTGTTTTCGCTTCGTTTTTTAATCAGTACCCCACTGAGGCACGTTCGAGGTGTTACATCGTAATCCGATTTCCGTGTTACATTTGTTTTTATGTTTTTAAAAATGAATAAAATACCATCATAGAAGTGTTCTACATGTAAAATAAATTATAGAATTTCTATTATATATATAAGGCCATCTGGAAAAGGAAAAAAAAAATCACAATCATTTGCCAAAACAAATAAATGAAAATTACACTTATTACCAACAAAAATGAGACAAACTTTTCTCTGTATATGTTATGTCCTGACAAGAACATATATCTCTACCTACAGACAAACTAATTTGTGTAATGAAAATCAACCTGTGCTCAGACAGCCTCTTTAACCACAGCTTTGCGTTTGGGGCGTCCACACCTCCTTACATCGTCACCCTTTAGTAGCTCCAAAGCTTTCTCTAAGGTTACGTCATTTGGCTTCATATTCTGTAACCATTAATCGGATTGCAAATAATCAGGTTTTCGAGTCGTAAAAGATTTTTTTTTTTTATAAAACCCAAAACGAAATATAAATAATGCGAGTGATAAAACATGAATGGACTTTTAACCTTGGGTACTGAAGCAATTGTGCGTCTGTGTCTAATGGTATATCCGACGTTGGCAAGCTTTAAAACTACCGGTTGGTCATCGTCTGGATGGTTTCCCTGATAATTAAAAGATAAAAAAAGAAAAAAGTAAATTAAAAAATAAAATAAAATAAAATAAAGAACGTATGTATCTATAAGATCGGTTTGATGATGTGAAGTTAAATATAGGAAAAAAAGGCACATTGCACTGAAAATCAAAACATACCAAGGTCAATGGATACTTGAGTAATTCCAAGGCATCTTCCAATGTGATGGAGTCTGCATTCTTTATCTAGTGTAATAAAACATGAATATTGGATAAGTGACGCGAGAAACGAACATATTGCAAGCACCATAATTCCATTACTAAATTGAAGAGTTTGTACTGCCTAAGAATTATGGCATATGGGTAGTGAGAAAAGAAACATTGAGAAATTTAAAATTGGAATGTAAGATACATAAGTATCAATGATAAAAGTTCCAGTTTATCGAGAGGTTTCCAGAACTTTTTTTTTTTTTTTTGACTAGGTGACTTCAACCAGGGAATCAGACAATCAATGTGGCCTTATGTTTCCTATATATATGTAATATATACACACACACACGGAGAAAAAACGGGTTATTGAACCATAACCACTAAAAACAAATACATACTTGTTTCGCCGAGGCTCGCTTAGGTAAGTGCCCCTTCCTATCTTCACCAAGCTGCACATAGTGTCCGTATGGGCCACACTTCAGAAGAACCTAAGAAGGTGGTGAAAAAAAAAAAACAAAACAAACATTAACAAGAAAAAAATCAGAATGATCGATGAACATAACAGTTATTAGAATACAATCCACAAACACAATCGTATTATCAGATGAAAACCTTCTCGTTTGATCCTGGATTTAGACCAAGCAGCTTCGGCTCCTGCACGTTGTTCTTCTGATTTTCAGGAGTGATTTCTTCATCATCTTCGCCGTAGAGTGTTTTAGCAATGTACCTGCACAGATGTCAATAACATAATTCACAAACCATACATAAAACGAAACCCACAGAGGCATTACGAATGAAGTCAAATACTCACTTGCACTTTGGGTGTTGATCACAGCCAATAAAGTACCCTGCACCGAACCTGCTAACTTTGAAAACCAATGTTCCTTCTCCACAACTTGGGCAAGTTTTATTTCCATCGCGAAGCGACGCGAACAAGAAATTGCCAAATGTTTTCTCCAACATCTTCTCCACCTGATGGATATGCACACTGCCAGCGCACTCGCAGTACTTGCTAAATCTAGTCCAATAATCTTTTAAAAGGCCTTTCCATTCAGTTAATCCAGCCGAAACATTATCGAGTTCGGTCTCCATATCAGCAGTGAAACTATAATCCGTCACCTCAGAAAAATAGTGAGAGAGGAAAGCCGAAACCATCCGCCCACGAAATTCTGGATACAGTGTCCTGCTTTTAACTGTTATGTAATTTCTGTCTTTTAGCACCTTAATAGTGGTTGCATAAGTAGAAGGTCTTCCTATGCCAAGTTCCTCCAGCTTCTTCACTAACGATCCCTCGGAGTATCGAGGTGGATGCTGCGTAGAATGTTGATCGAGTTCTACTTCAGTCACGCACAATGGCTGCCCACATTTCAAAGAACTCAAAACCTCGTATGTTTCACTGCGGTGATTCTCTTCATCCTCGATATTTCTGTCTCTGAATGTTTCTTGGTCTTCATAAGCCGCTTGAAAGCCTTTAAATTCCACTCTCGAGCATGTTGAACGGAAAACAATGGACTGGTTAGCATTGCCAATATCACATTGTATATGCTCAATTACAGCAGGTTCCATCTGACATGCAGTCGTACGACACCATATGAGAGTGTACAACTTGAGGGACTCTTCATCGAGCACCGCAGCAAGCATTGATGGAAGTCTTCGGATATCGGTGGGTCTAATGGCTTCATGAGCCTCCTGAGCATTTTTCACCTTCTTAAAATATTTGCGTTTACTCTTTGCTGCAAAATCCTGGCCATACTTCTCCACGATAAAGGATTGGATATCCTTACTTGCTTCGTCTGATAAGTGCAAGCCGTCAGTTCTCATGTAAGTTATTAGTCCAGTAGACTTGCCGTCGGATAATTGGACTCCCTCGTAAAGCTTCTGTGCAACTTTCATTGTATGTGACGCTGCAAAATTCAATTTGTTTGCAGCATCTTGCTGAAGAGTTGACGTTATGTACGGCATTGGTGGATTTCTCCGACTTTTGCTAGTTTTAGAACCGGTGACCTCAAACTTGGACATGTTAATCTTTTCTTCAATATCTTTTGCCTCTGTACTAGAGCTAATCGACAACTGACTCAGCTTTTTGGAATCGAAATGGGTTAAATGTGAGGCGATAGAAGTGTTCTTGGCTGAATTTGAATCGTTCTTCTGGAATTGAACATCGATTGACCAATACTCCTGAGCTTTGAATTCGTCGATTTCTTTTTCTCTATCACATATAAGAGCTAAAGCAGCTGATTGGACACGCCCAGCGGACTGGCAACCAGGTAATTTCCTCCATAATAAAGGAGAAACATTGAAACCAATCAGATAATCAAGTGCACGCCGTGCGAGATAAGCATGCACCAAGTCTGCATCGATCTCTCGTGGGGACTGCAGAGCAGTTTTAATGGATGATTCGGTTATTTCGTTGAAAACAACTCTTGCAACAGTAACATCATCGCGCAAAGCATCCTGTTGCTGCAACATTTCGAGTATGTGCCAAGCAATTGCCTCTCCTTCACGATCAGGGTCTGAGGCAAGAATAAGATTTTCTGCTCTGGAAACAAGAGAGGAGATCAGACAATAAACAAACCAACTGACAAACAAAATTATTCAGAGAGATAATTCAGTGAAACTGCATGTGCAGAAATCTAATTTGAGCCTTAAAAATACTTTCAAAACCAGGCCCAAGACTCGAAACAAAAAAAGTGAGTTACAATATAGCAGTAAAGCAAAAGATTTAAAAAAAATATAAGTAGAATGAGAAAGAAGTTAATAATACTATAGCAAAGTAGGCGTCGTAATCGGAGAACTCATATTGGAATTTGCACTTTCAAAAAAATTCCATTTTTTTTGGAAGTGAAAAACTAATTCCAACTCCGTTCCAAAAAATATTCGGAAATATCGGAAATCGGACTTTTGGAAATTGAAATGAAAAAGAATGTTCGAAAGTTGGAAATTTTCAGATTGGAACCAGCAAAATTTGGAAATTTCCATTTCTTTAGTCACCTATAGTATAATAACATAATAATATTGATGTTACAAGCGTAATCTTCAGAAATTTTCTAGTAGTTTTCTAGTTTTATTCCAAAAAAGAATCTGAAATTGGAACTTTCAGAATTCGGAATGAAAAATATTGTTCCAAAATTGGAGATATTCGGACAGAGAGCTACATACCCACAAAGTGCAACCTTAATACTCTTAAGATGAGACCACGCAGCGGATGGGACTTCCCACACCATACTGAAATCATCGTCAGGTCGTACAGATCCTGATCTTGCAGCCAAATCTCTAACATGGCCATAACTTGCTACAACCTCGTACATTTCACCAAGATATCCTTGAATCACTTTAGCCTTTGTAGCAGATTCCACCACTACCACAGATTTAGCAATAGGTGGATATAATTGATTCCAAACCTTTGGGCCTTGAGACTTAGTTTTAACGACCACGTGTGACTCTTGGCTCGGTACTTTGACATCTGATTGTACAATAAGTTCCTCGTTAGATTTCAGAGGAGAACGTGATTTTGTATTTGCTTTCCCCTTTTTAGTTGCTTTCTTCTTGACAATCTTGATTGGAATATTACTATCAACCACTTCTGTTGTACTTGAAGTCGAATTAACCTGCAACCAATAGTTAGTTAAAATAACAACACAGTAACTAAAAATCCAATTAGACTAAAAGGTATGCATGCTTCTAACCTCTAACGAAATAGGAGTTTTCTTGCTTTTGTTATTCTTAGTCTCCTTTGCTTGAGAAATCTTTACGGGGTTAATTGGCATGTCCGATGTGTCATCAGCAACAGCACTTTGAGTTTGCTTTTTCTTGCTCCTAGATTGAGGCTTCGCTTTCTCTTTGCCTTTTGGTGTTTGTATATTTTTGCCGACTAAAGATTTCTCACTATCCTTAACAATTTGACCGTTTAAAGGGGACAAAATGACATCATCAAAAGCTGCTGCTTTACCATCGGAGCTGCTGCTTGGCAATTCCTCAGTCGGAGCTGCATTTCCTTTGTGGGCAGCAAGACCCTTTGGCCACTTCCTCTGCTTATTAAATATTTTGAATAAACTGTTCTTCTCACTGCCCCCACTTTCTTTCGTAACAATATTATTTTGGGCACTTGCATTTGGCATCTGCGAAAATGCTCTGCTACTACTACTGTAATAATTCGAGCACATTCCACTTAACATCCCGTAATGAGAAGCATTTACGGGTACTTTAAACGCAGAAAAAGAGGGATGCGTATTAGCGAAACTTCTTAGTGGATGAATCTTCTTTTCTGGCTTGTTTCTGAGAGCACAAGATAGCCTAACACTCGGAGGAAAATTAAAATTAACGGATTTCTCAGCATTCAAAGACGAACACCTTAAACAGACCCGACGATAATTTCTCAACGATCGATTCTGCAACTAAACAGACAACAAACACAAAATCAAAACTAATAAAAAAGAACAGAAATTTTCAAAAATAAGCTTAAATAAAGTACAAATTAAACAATTGAAATTCCTAAATACAGTATCGGAGTCCAAATTATGCACTTCCAATCTGAATTAAACTTGAACAAATTGGATAGAAATTCCCAATCAAAATCAAACGAAAAGACCTTAATTGTTTTATTCTGCATTTATCATTTCAGAATTTCATTCTACAATGGAGTAAGGAAAAAATGAACCACAATCTAGGGTTTGATAATCAGCAGCAAATTGGAATCTGACCTGAAAGACTTGGCCGTGTGACCACGTCATGCCGATAACCTTAACTACCATCGCATGCTTGATTTGCAAATCCATTATGCACAAGAGAGAGAGAGGGAGACTGAGCAGAGATAGATGATGGTCGGAAACCTAGGCGGCTACTCGGTGGTTCATTTATTCTGCTTTACTTCCGGCCGCCGAGAGTAGGAAATTCTGTGGTAATGGGGTAAGGGGTTTGGGTGGGGGAGGGGTTTATGCTTTCTTTTTTTAATTATAAATAAATATATTTATTTTTCTTAAATTTTTAACAATGGAGTTTATTTTAAATTTTGACAAAACTTTCAACTTTAAGAACTTTTACAAATAGATTATGAATTTTATTTTTATTAAAAAGAGAATAAAAATATTTACTACCAATAAGGTTTTCCAAAACAAAGGTTAATTATTTCTCTTTCTAATATTATATTTATAACATATATTTTATTATTTTTGACATAAATAATGAAGAATTTATGACATTTTTATTCATTATTTATGTCATTTTTAATTAATCTTATATATAAAAGAAAGAGACGCTGGACAATTCTAAAAAATCATAATGGTATTTCTGTAATTATTTATTTTTAATATTTTTTCTCTACAATTTTTTAACTACCCTCATGGTATTTCTGTAATTATTTATTTTTAATATTTTTTCTCTACTAATTTCTAACTATAATTTTTAATAATTATCAAAATTAAAACTAACCCTTGAAAATTTTTACCTTATTGATGTAATTATTTATTTTTAATATTTTTTTTATATTAATTTTTTAAGTATAATTTTCAACAATTATTGATCTTCTAATTTTCATCAATATATCTCAAATTTTAAGAGATAAAACTAGAAATTCAATATGAATTATATTACATTATTAAATTTTACTATATTAGTGTACTATATTTTCTTATAATTTCACTATTTAAATAATATTTCGTGCATCCTACGAGAGGAAAATGCTAGTAATAAATTTGGAATTAGAAGAATTTATGTCATTTTTTTCCAATTAATAAAAAATCGAAATTGAAACCTAAGCAAGTGATAAAACCTACACAACTCTCCCAACCCACGAGAACGGCTATAAACACTTCCCGTGCCTACTCTCGCCGCCGCCGCCGCCGGTCCGCTCCTCAATTTCTCTTCCCGCCGCCGGCCTGCTTCGTGCGTAGATAAATTTGTATTCGGTACGTCCTTCTCGTTAATCACCTTTTCATTATTTCAAAATTCGTTCTGATTTGTGTGGTATGGTGGATTTATTGTGTGGTATCTAGGTCTAATATATTTCCTCCAATCTGTTATAATTTTCATATACTGGAGTTTTCATTGCTAATTCATTCTCAGAGTCGAAGTTAGTTTTCAATTTCGTTGTAAAATCAAATTTCACCCCCTTTTTTTCCGCCCATAGTTTATGCAAACAGTTCTGTTTAGCTATGAATTCATATTGTCAATTCAATTGTGTTTTAAATCCTGCACATAAATACCTTCTGTCTTACTTCTGTTAAAAGATTAATCGATTTTGTGTGTGTGTGTGTGTGTGTGTGTGTGTGTGATGACTAGTCTGTGCTGGATTTGTTGGATATCAGGGGGCAATATCACATAGAATATTTCAGTTCTCTTGAATAAATCGAATACAAATTATACGAGCAAACAATCTGTTTGGCATTTATTCGTATTTTCGAGTGTGTTAAAGCTCTACACACGAATACCTTCTGCTTAATTTCTGTCAGTATTAATTGAAATTTGTATCCTTTAGGCGGTGTAAGTAACATTAAAAAAAACAGCGAAGATGAAGGAGACTTTGCTTCCATCGTCAATTAAAAACAAAGAGAAAAGATCAGCAGTCCATGCGAAGTTGAAGCAGCAAAAGAAGGTAGAGAAGAAGAGGAACCAAAAAGTTCGCGAAGCTGCGGAAAAGAAAGCCTTGGAGCTGGGAGAGGACCCACCGCCCAAGAAAACCCCTCGGACAATCGAGAACACTCGTGAATTGGACGAAACTGTATGCAAACCCGACGACGAGGAGCTATTTGCTGGAAACGATGCAGATGAATTCAGCTCCATCTTGAAACAAGAATGCATACCTAAGATATTGATTACCACCTCCCGATTCCATTCATCCGTATGGTTTTACTCGCAAGTTTCGATTTTTTTTTAACTTGATCTCGTTTTTTTTCCTTTGCTAATGATGGTTTTGTATGGTGTACTTCAGAGAGGACCCGATTTTATTGAAGATTTGCGCTCTATCATTCCCAATGCTCATTACTACAAGAGAGGAACATATGACCTCAAAAAGGTTTCTGAATTTCTCTCCCTTTTATTTTCTGCCCCGTCACCAATTAATTAGTTTCGAGTTTGTGTTTTCAGTTTGTGTGGGATAGTGTGTGATTCTTTGTAATTTTTGATGTTAATGCAGATTGTTGAATATGCAAAAAAGAAGGATTTCACATCAGTCATAGTTGTCCACACCAACCGCCGGGAACCAGGTCAACCCCTGCTCTGATCTCGACTCGCATATTAATAATTGTTCTGCTATGCTTGAAGTTTAAGATGTTAGAGTGGTGACGGTTGATTCAATTAAAATAAGTGCTTATTTTTTATTCTTTTTAATTAAATCTTGATCAGTATTCTTTTTAATTAAATCTTGATCAGTAGTCGATAGAAATCGGGTAGGGTTTTGAGGGCATATTAGGATGAATCAACTTGCAGATTCTGTATCATCCTGGATATTCGATTTTTGTTAATCTTTGCAAGTCGATGCAGATGCTCTGTTGATTATTGGGATACCGAATGGTCCTACTGCTCACTTCAAACTTTCAAAGCTTGTTTTGCGAAAAGACATTAAGGTAGGATGATTTTTTTTTATTTTACATTTAGTCCCTCATCATTCTCTCGATTTCAATACAGCCCTTGTTAGATCAGTATTTTCTCATTTTCATCTCCACTTGCAGAATCATGGAAATCCGACCAGTCACCAGCCTGAGTTAGTTTTGAATAATTTCACCACACGTTTGGGGCATCGTGTAGGCAGGTAATTTTTACTGTAAATTAATTAATGAAGTTATGAAAGATGAAAATACAAGGCTAAATCACACACCCTGCATGACTTATTCAGTACATTAGTTTCCTTTTCTTGTAGCTTTTTTCAAACGTTTTCTGCGATATTATTTTCTTTCTTGGCTGTGGGATGATGAATCTTCGATAAATAAAAAAATTACTAAGGTTCGGTAAGCTGGCCTGATTTGAAGTTCTAATTCTAGTATGATTTTCAATCCTCTTGCAATATGGTACACGTTTCAGTTTTGTATCTATAACATTGGTTCATGCGTCTCTTGTTGCTGTTTCGTTTCTCTATATTCCAATGTTTCGAATAAAAGTTGACATTGTTTTTTTTTTTCTTTTTTTTTTTTGTGTGTCTAAATTAGGCTAATCCAGTCTCTTTTTCCGCAAGACCCTCATTTCAATGGCCGGAGAGTTGTTACCTTCCACAATCAACGCGATTTTGTATTTTTCCGCCATCACCGGTGTGTATATCTTGCTCTGTAGTTTCGTAACTTATGATCTAAATATCTTAATTTTTTTCCTTATTATTATTGCATGTAAAAGTTACATTTTCGAAACAAAAGAAAGCAAAACGCCGGAAGGTAAAGACAAAAAAGAAAACAAGGCTGCTCGTCCGGGGAAAGTTGTTGCCCGGCTTCAGGTTTGTAATACTAATCCCCTGGCCCCACCTTCGACATAGTTATTGCTTCTCTTGCCTTTTTCTTACGTATTCATTATGAAATCTTGGTCGAAACTCGGTTGCACAAACTAAACGATGGCAATTATGTGAATATCAACATTGCAGGAATGTGGACCCCGCTTCACCCTGAAGCTAACAAGTCTTCAGAATGGAACATTCGACACACAAGGAGGTGAATATGAATGGGTACACAAGGTAATATATATATTTTTTTTATCTCTACTAAAATTCATTAATTTGCTCAAAGTATTATTACTTTTTCTCGATCAAGTGGCTTATACTTTATTCGTCGCGGTCTTTTGAATGTCACAGCCTGAAATGGATACCAGCCGAAGGAGGTTTTTCTTGTGATAAACTCGGAGATGCGATTCTTCGGAAATTTTGAAAAGCTATGTGGAAGTCTAATGAAGTTGAGGGTACTAAGTAAAACATGAAATTGTATCAACAATTTGTGCTATTAGCTTTGTTTTCTTCATTTTGAACTGTTGTAGTTTTTGAACTCGAGCTTCATGTTATATGATTTCAGAGAATTTACTATATTTGTTTTAAATATTAAAATTATGTTATAAGTTAAAAAAAAAAGTAGGGAAGATGCAGAATTTGTCACGGCATAAAATCATTAGCATTGGTGTATTGCATCCATAAATGAAAAGAAAATAAAAGCTCATTAATTATTAAATAGGAAATAATCGAATTGGATTAACTCCAAATTTATTGATTTATTGGCAAAATATACCAAATTGATTCGTCCGAATATATTGGTGGCCCTTTTAGATCCGTATATGCTGATGGATTTTCTGTATCCTGCAAATAAGAACACAAAAAGAAAAGCCGGGCTGATGCCGGAGTTAGCACTCCGACGATCAAGTCAGAATGGCCTCGATTTAGGAAAAAGGATAATTAAATGTTTTCTCTGGTTCTTTTTTTATGAAGAAGAATCTGTGCATAAGTGAGTTGATCTCTTGCTATTTATAGAAAAATTCTAAGAGCGGACTTCAAATACGGATTCCAAATCCATTTTAGTTGTCACTTCAGAGGTGTTTCAGACTTTTTTAGATATATTAAATTAAACTTACCTGTCTTCTCGGTGAACAGTGTTGTGAGCTGCTTATTCCCTAGACTGCATATTCTCTGAACGCTTTTGACATTTGGGATGGGATATTAAATGCAAGATAATTATATCGGATACGTTATAGATCATATCTTACACATATCTTACAACTCTCGCCTTTGTCCTCTTGTTACTAGAAGGGTCTCCCCTCTCGCGCCCGCGGCCGGTTTTCGATTAGGCTTCCTAACTAGACCCAGAGCATGATTTATCAAATCCAGTCTGTATATTCTCTGTGGTTACTGACATTTGAGTAGACACGCATTAAATGCAAGTCGGCGATACTGCTCCTTTTGTCAGATAATATTCCTTGTTCCCATCCTTTCATTTCGGCGACCGCGAACTTCTTCTTCTCTCGCCCTGGAGTGGGCTCTCGCGAGCTTCCCCTTATTGGGCCTTTATTGGACCTTCTAACGGGCCGAAATAATTAGTTTTTACCGAATCACCAAATAATAAACTATAGATTACGACCATGTCGAGAGGTAATGTCAAATTATGAAATAATCAGAAGAGGTAAGGTTAAATTATGAAAAAATCTTTCATGTTTGTGTAATTACAACTATCCTTTAATTACGAATCTTTCTTACCCGTTCACCTTTACGATGTCAAATTTAGTGGAATATTATCCGGTTCGTATCTGTTTTACCGCATTCTAGCTCTACATTTTAAAACAAGATGATTAAAAAAATTGGAGTTATTAGCACATACTCCCCCTGCGTATCTCTAATTGTAGAAAAATTCCCTACGTTAAAAAAAATTAGCAATAAGCCCTCTATGTTACGTTTTACAAGCACACATTTTGTCACATCAAAATTGATTTTTTTATTTAAATGAAATGACAAAATTACCCCTACTATTTTTTTAAAAAATATTTTAAGTTAAATAAACTAAATAATCATTTTTTTATATTAAATATAAAAGAAAATTATGAAACTTTTATTTTGGGTCTTACAAAAATTATGGGGTGAATTTATAATTTTATAAATTTATGTTTTAAAGGGTTTTTTAGTCTTTTAGGTCAAAAAACATACCCCAAGTCGCGCGCGGGTGCAACACACATCAGCTCGTAGCGGCCTTATTGGCTTTGACTAATTTTTATAGGGGTATTTTTGGTAATATTTTTAACACAATGGGGTTTCTCAATAATTAGAGATTACACGGGGCGATTCTTGCAAAAATCTCTTATAATATGTGTTTTCTTGCTCGTAAATATCAGATTGTGGTGCATCAGAAACTGCATTTATGTACAAAACGAGTACAAATAGAGAACATTTCACGAAATGTAAAAGATTATAATGAATTTGACAACAGAAGGGTGAACGTGTAAGAATATTCATAATTGATGAATATTGTAATTACCCATACACGATGGAGTTTTTCGTAATTTAACCTTACCTAAAGGATGAGAGTAATTGACCTAAATAATATAATTTCATTGGGCTGGATTATTTGATTTTGTTTTTCCAAAAGTAACGTTTTCTTTTTTATTTTTTTTAATATTTTGAAACAAAATGAAATTCCACAAATTTGGCCCAATATTTATTTATTATAAGTATTATGATTCAACCAGATAAATACCACTCTGAACACCCACACGCGCGTGTAGGAAATTGCTTCCACTCTCTAGAATCTCAACAACAGATTCACGTTATAGGTGAAAAACATCAACTAAGAAAACGACGCGTCGTCACAACGCGCGTCTGGAAACGGCTTCCACGTTTATTTATTTTTTCTTTTCTTTTTCGTGAAACCTAAAAAAACAAAACAGAAATAATAAAGGCTATATATATAATAATATATACATATATTACATATATATTTTCTCATATATACATTAAAAAAAAAAAAACATTTCTCCGCAAAAACCCTACTTTTTTTTTTCTCTAATTTACAATCCCTACCACTTTTCCTTTTTCTTCCCCACCTTCTCTACCTTCTCAATTCGCTCTTCTGTACAGATAATTTTCCCAATTTATTGGTGAGTTATTTCTGATTTTTCTCTATTTTTCGTGATTTTTCTCTATTTTTCGTGATTTTCTCTCTCTTTAATTTTTTTATTCTATTTTTTTAATTAGCGCCTCAATTTTGTAATTAAAAATTAAATTGGTGAATTTTCCAGAATTATTTTGATGTTTTACGCTCGATCCCTCGGTAAAAATACAGAGAATTCTCTGAATTTTGTAGTGCGAGAATGAAATGCTGTTGTTTTTTTTACTGCTCTCCACTTCACTGTATTATAATTATTATTTTTTATTTATTCATTTTCGTGTTGCTAATTATAGATTTTTCAATTTTCCCGTTACTGAATTGAACTTTTAATTAATTAAATAAATAAATAAAATCAATTTTTATTTTTTTTCGAAATTTGAAATTCTGGGGTTTTGTTTTTTCAGAAATGAAATTGAGAAGCTACTTCTTTAGATACTGGTGAAGATCTGCGAATAATTTATTTTCCTTTTTGTTTTCTCATGGTGCCCAGGTAATTTCCGAAAACCCTCGAGGGTAATTTCGGTATTGCAAAATGTCTGGTGCATCTGAAACGACGGCGGCGGCGGCGGCGATGGCAAACCGTGAGCCGTTCAACGTAACCGCCGCGGCTTCACAAACTCAGATGGAACATCAAATGCGCATGCCCTACGCCGGCGACGGCGCCTGCGGGTTCATGCAAATGGGCTCTTCGCCGCCGCCGTACCAATCCATCCCCTCCGGCGGCATGGTGGTGAACCACGTTGGAAACTCGAGTGAGCAGAAGCGGAGGAGAGGGCGGCCGAGGAAGTACGCACCAGATGGCAACATCGCCTTCTCCATGGCTTCTTCGCCTCAACAGCAGCAGCCACAGGGTTTCTCTCAGACGGCGGCGCCGCCTCATCTACCCTCTCAGGCGGCGGCGGCGGCGGATGGATCTGGCTCACCGAGTGGTAAGAAGGTCAGAGGCAGACCTCGTGGCTCGAGAAATAAAAAGCAGCAAAAGGAAGCTTTAGGTACAGTAAGCGATCTTTTGTCAATTAAAAAAAGATTGCTTTTTTATTTTATATTATTCATATTAACTGGTCTGTCTGATTCTGGTTTGATTTATTTATATATTTATTTATTTTTATTTTATTAATATTGGAAATGAACTAAAAATAGGTGTTGATTTCATGGTTTATATGAAATACTATTTTATAAAGTCTTATCTGTACATTGGCAGAGGGATACTATATATGTATGTATGGTGGAACCTTTGTGTCTAAATTTGGACAACTCCTTATTTATTTGTTTTCTAATTGCATCATTGCTATTAAGTAAACACTATTTTTTTTTTAATTTATCAATATTCTAATTATTGCTATGATTAAAAATGGTTTGATTGCAGGTTCAACTGGTATCGGATTCATACCGTACGTTCTCAATGTGAATGCAGGAGAGGTCAATATTTTTAAATCTTGTTCTTTTATGTTAAGTCAACTGTCGATGGAACTTGGTTCGTTATTTTGGTTACGATTAGGAATATCTGTTATCCCTTTATGTTACTTAAACATGAAAGATAAATCGGAACTAGGAACGAATCTTTACGACTTAGTTTATAAAATGTTGTTCTTTAACTCTAACTGATTTAGGTGGTTAAGGGGCCAGTTCTTCGAAATGGTGGTCACTGCTGATTAGTTTGTCCTGTTAACAATCTGTTCCGGTAATACGATCGATCTGGAATTTATTTTTATAACTTAAATTGATTAAAATTAATTTTAAATAAGATTACAAATGCTGAAATTTTGACAATAATGGATTTAAGAACTTAAAAAGTCTTGAACTTTAATTTGCAAATATGTTTTAAATTTAATTTATTTTGATAAAGATATTGTTAATGAAAGAAACTTAAATTTCACAAATTGAAGGGAACAAAAAGTACATAAAAGGGGTTGAAATGAAATTAAAATTATGATGGCTTTTGTGACCGCCGAAATATCTGGTTAAAAAAAATTCTGTTTATGTCAAATTTGCTGGCTCATGAATTTCAACATTTACGACCCTTAACCAGCTCTTAAACCAACTGTATGGTATGTTGTTGACCTGGCATGTTGACCGTGGTCTCTTGCTCGGACTTCACTTGAGCAAGTGAGCTACGAGAGACAGCATTGCTTACATGATTCTGCTTATACTAAATATAATCGACAGGATAAAATATTCAATGATTTTTGCTGTCCGTGTGAATAAAATGTCATATCATCTACATGTTAATAACAAATCTTATCGTCTTTCCTGTTTTATGACGTTGTTTATCACGGCTGTCACGTGGTACATCTAACTAAGCCTAAATACCTTCGACCATATTAATTGGTTCTATCCTATTTGGTAAATTGATTGCTATAATTTTTTCCTTATAATCTTTATTATCTGTGTTTCTGGTCTATTAATTCATTATCTGCAGGCCCTCGTTTTTTTCCCCTTGAATTTTAGGTTATCAGAGTCTTTATTAGCTAATTGACAAATATAATGTACCCTTTTTCGTTTGAGAGATTTCACGAATATTGCACCTTTAGTAGGTAGGTATCTGTTATCATTTATTTCAACGCTGATGTATCACATTGAATCGTACAACATTTTATATGAATATAACATTGAGATTGGAGCTTGTGCTACACTGTTTCTCCACTTTCTCCGAAAACCGGAAAGTGGGGTTCTATCAATTTTTTGGTCCTTCTCGACTACTACATGAAAAAGGAGTGGAATATGATAAATTCAGTGATTTGTAATTTTAGCTAAATTAATTTTGCAGGATGTCTCTTCGAAAATAATGGCTGTTTTTCAGAACGGACCAAGGGCTGTGTGTATCCTATCTGCCAACGGTACCATATCGACTGTGACACTCAGCCAGGCTGCAACATCTGGCGGAACCGTTACTTATGAGGTATGTGGGTGTATTTTATATATATATATATATATTCCTTTTTCGCTTTCTTTGCTTCATTTAAGGATAAATCTAATCTCTATTTGTTTTGGATTTTCCAAATTTAAAATCTATCTGATAACCAAAGATATAATAATGGGCTATAAAAGATTTCAACTTTCTTGGAGTTGGTTTGGTAGCTAATCTATTGTCTTGCACCCGTAATAAATTTATGTATAATCCGATTGTCTGAATATGTGATGTGGATTACCACGTATCTCTTGATATCAGATGTTTGTTCATGAAATTGGACTCTATTATCGGCAAGTTCTTAAATTTTATTTGCACGTTTATGAATTTAGGCCACGTTTCATTTGCAATGCGATGGATTATAAGGAATCTTATAATATGGAATAATGAATGAATCGAGTTGCTCTTGAAATTAACTTGATTACAATTATATACATTGTGATATGTAGGGCCGGTTTGATATATTATCGCTTTCTGGCTCGTTCATGCTATCTCAAGTTGGCGGCCAGAAAAGAAGGACAGGTGGCTTAAGTGTCTCGTTAGCTGGTCCAGATGGCAGTGTCTTAGGTGGTTCTGTCGCTGGTTTACTTATCGCAGCTACCCCAACCCAGGTTAGCTTGTCCGATAAAATATCATTAAAACGCGTGCAATACTATTTATTGATAAATCCGTGTTAGAATTTTCATTTTTCCGATGTAATAATTGCAGGTAATAGTAGGAAGCTTTCTGCCAGACGGGCACAAAGAAGGGGGGAGGAAGAAGGGGGCATCATCAGTTCCGGCGAGAGTGAACACTGGTGGCAGTGGCGGTGGTGATGGGGGTGGCGGCAGCAGCTCTTTTTCACGAGGAACGCAGAGTGAGTCATCCGATGGGGGCCCGTTAAGCCCGTTAAATATGACGGGTGGTCATCCTTTTAACGAAATAACCCCACAAGCCATGTCATCCATGCCTTGGAAATAAATAAATAGTTTCTTCCTATAAAAAGAAAAAAAAGGTACTAGTTGCTATGTAATATTATTATTATTATTAAATTATAATTTTTTTTCGGAGGAAAAAGGGAAAGACCCAATGGCTGCATTTTCGTGCCACCGTAGTCGAGTTAGGTTCTTCGTTAACCGATCTTTTTTTTTTTTTCGTTTCTACTGCGGCTGTTGCGGTTTGTTTGTTTGTATAAAGTTGGTGGTTAGTTCTTTTTGATTTATTTCTTCTCTTTAACCTATTTATTTTTGCTTCATCTTTATTTATTATAAATTCGCATCGTAATTTCTAATCGTATACGTATATGTATCCGTGCGTGCATTTCAACAAAATATGACGCTAAACTTGTAAATGTTGGCAATGAACTTTTGCATGAAAATTGGTAGTGAAGTTTTAAAATTTTGAAAATTCCAATTTTGATTTTCCGGTTTTTTCTAATTTCGATCCAATTTCAATTTATGAAATTAATTTCAAAATTTTGATTTTTTTTTTTGAAAATATACTAATAATATCAAAATTATTGTGTATTTTGCACTTTAGGTTACTAAAAATAGGAATTTTTCGAATTTGGTCGATTATGATTTGAAAATTTCCGATTTTGGAACAAGCTTTTAAATTTCAATTTCCGAAATTTCGATTTTAATTTTTAGGGAACAAAATTGGAACTGCTTTTCACTTCTGAAAAAAAAATGGAATCTCTTTTTTCGGAAACACTAATTCCTATACCACCCGTTCGATTTCCACCCCTAGTTGAAATTATCATTTATAGCAAAAGAAAAGAAATAGATAAAACTTTGTAAGTGAGCCCCAAATTATATTTATTTAATAGTAATTGGAAAAAGAAAAAAAAAAGAAAAGAAAAAAAAGAAAATAGAAAGAAGAGCAATACAATACAAGTGTCGTTTCTATTACATGCCTTAAAACACAGGTCTTCTTGTTTACCTCTCTCTCCCGAAGAATCAACCAATACGCTAATTCGGTAAGAACTCTCTCTCTTCAACCTAATTATCTTCACCCAAATCAGTATTTTTTTTTTGTTAAATTTTATTTCTTTACTTCAATTTTTAAAACCCCCCTTCTTTTTAATTTTATTTTTAATTAGCTTTTGTGTGGATTAATATTGGTTAGCCCGTTTGGTTGTTATTAATTTCTGATCGAAGCTGATTTTATTTTTTGTTCTGGTTGAGGTGGTGCCGTTTCTTGAACGCCCATGTGTGTTAGAATTTTAATTTGGAACTATTTATTTCGGTTTTTGGGTTTTCGGGTTTTTGGTTTCGGTTTCGGTTTTCAATGTTTAGATAGTTAAATTTGTTGTAGCTATAATGTGGCTCAGAGTGTAGCCAGTTCAAGTTGGTTGAATTTGGGATTTTAAGAAAATAAAAAATAAAATATAAAAATTACTTCTTTACGGTAAAGATTAAATGATAATCGCAGCCGAGCGAATGAGTTGATTAGCTCGAGTTTAAAAGATTCCGACTCGTCGCTTTATTTTGTAGCAGTTCTAGATGTCTAGCAAATGCATTTTACTCATCCATGATTGCAATCATGAATAACTAATTAAGCAGTTTTGTAGTTACGATTCCGATATTACGGTGACCGAGTTCGAAAATTCTATACGAAGTCGTAAAGAAAATTGCCCCATCTTAATTAATTTCCGATGTTATCTCTAAGTCGACTTAATTTATTACATCGCAGTTGGCAAAAAATCGAGCATTAATCAGGGACGATGGATAGCTTAGATCCAGCAAAGGTAAAGAAAATCACATGGAAAAGAAGCAAAACGCAAGTCGAAAATGCGAATCACGAGGCGGCGGCAGGTGAGAAAAGGGCTCGTTGCGATGATTCTCTACAGGTGTCCACACCTCCGATAGCATGCAACCTCGCGCAGTCGTACGTGATGCCCATGCTACCCATGCCGAAAATGGACGAGTGGTGTTTGAAGAAATCTATTTGCTTCGGTGGGACTGCGTGTAGAGGAGTAACCGGGCCCCCCGTAGGAGTTGTCGATATTGGCGTTAGCAAAAACGCGTATTATTTTTGCATTGCTCTACCTGGAGTCAAGAAAGATCCCGGTAATTTAAATACCCTATGTTTTTAAAATTTATTCGCTTCCTTATTTATCGTGTATGTGTTACTTAAATGAGACGAGATATATTTATATATTTTTTTTAGAACTGTCGAAATGAAGAAACTTGAGATAGTTACGGAGAGTTTATTGCATTCAGCACCCATCTGTTGAATCGACTTGCTAAAAGACTCCTCGTGTTATAGATATTAGCAAAACTGCCCTAGGATGCATTTGTTTTAGCACACAACCCCCTAAATGATGCTTTTTTAGGGGTTAGTTTGCTAATAAAATTGAATCGTTTTGGGGGGATTTTGCTAGTATTTATAGCACGGGGAGTTATTTAGCAATTAGAGTATACACAGGGGTGCTGGATGCAATTAACCCTACTTTCGGATGCTCAAAGCTTTCGAATGTGCATTATGTATGCGACTTATAATTTAGTGCATCCGAAATATTGCTCCAAATTATATTCACAAATTAAATTTTTTTTTTTTCGTTTTTAATCAGGTGAATTCAGCTGTGAAATACGAAGGGAGGGGAAGGTGTATATCCAAGGTGTGACAACGACAGGTGGCAATACGGTGTCGAAATACTCTCGAGTATTTGTAATGAAAATGCAGCAGCAATGTCCACCTGGACCATTCACACTCTTGTTCAGCTTGCCGGGCCCCGTTGATCCTAGGTTGTTTTCTCCCACCTTCAGATCCGACGGTATTTTTGAAGGCGTCGTTGCTAAATACGATCACTAGTTCCGTTTCGTGTGTGGGGAATATGTACATAATCGATCAGCTTGCTTGCGTGCGCACGTATTTTGTCATTACTTAGCTAGCTCGTTTTTTATTTTCACGTAATTTTCACAGATGAAACGTATGCTTTTTTTTGAAATCGTAGCTAGCTAGAATTTTGACAATGTACTTCAAAGACATAAATGTAACCTCCTTAATTCAGTCTAAATCTAATTTTGTTAAATTAATCTTTTATTAAGCTCTATAACTAAACTAACCGTGCAACTAAGCTCTCTATATATAACTTAAGAGTAAACTGCAAATACTACCTCTGTGTTATCTCGAAATAGCAAAAACCCCCCTGTGATAAATAAACTAGCAAAAACCCCCTTGTGAAATTTAGTCAAAGGCAGAATCCCCCCTAACTGATTTTTGAGACTTGAAATGACAAAATTGTCGCTCAAAATGTATTTATATATATATATATACATATTATATGTATATTTATTCTTTTTAATTTATTTGTTTAGAAATTAAAAAAAATAGTAAACAAATAAATTGATTATTTTTTAAATAAAATAATTAAAATATTTATAAAATATAAAAATTTATTAATTGCAAGACTCCAGGGGTATTTGTGTCTTTTTATATCAAGTCAACCCTCAAATAGTTCCATAGGGGGGTTTTTGCTATTTAAATAATTTCACAGGGGAGGTTTTTGCTAGTTTATTTATCACAGGGGGGTTTTTGCTATTTCGAGATTAGATGATGCTAAAATATAGCTCACCTTGGGTGGTGTAGAAAATGAACTGGGAGAGCAAAGCAGATCAGTAGCTTGACAACTTGATGATCCTGAGGTACCTGCGATCATAGAACACATGAACTAAGCCGGGGTTGATCCGGCGGAAACCCCTCCGACGCTCAAGTCAGACGTGCTGATCATTGGGTTGGCCCAATTATGCATATCACACAGAGGTAGTTTTTGCAGTTTACTCTATAACTTAACGCTCTAACGAACACACACAAACACACACATTCACATTGATGTGTGTAGATCAACGGTAAAAATCCTGCCAGCGTAACCTTCACCGGATGTAGCATAGAAATAACCCTAATGACGACTCAATTTCGAAAAGAAACCCTATTGAAAGACGACTTTCTCAATTAATTATGTGAGGTCTTTTTCATTTTATATAATTAGGCTTATAAATTGTGGAATCACATCAGATTTCTCGTTATCTAATTACAAAGTCTTATTGATTTTTTTCTTTCTTCTAATTTAACTCCATTAATTTCAGCCAGTAATGAAAATTAAAGAGGAAATCAGATATATAAGTAACATAATTACATCTTTCCTTATAAATTTAATAGTATATGGAAAATCTATAATTGTATGAAACTTACAATTACTTATTGATTTAACAAATATTTTTGAATTAATGTTATATGAATTGTTCTTTTTACTTATAAATTCAATCATCTCCACATATTCTACACAAACCTATACCCTCTTCGAGAATCAAGGAGAAAAGCTTCAGAATCATGAAAAGCTCGCTTCGTCTCGTCGTTCTTCTATTTCTTGTTCTACTTTGTAGAGGTGAATTTTTTTTTTTACATCGACAAATTAGATTTTTTTTTATATAAATAAATGTCTATTTGTTTCTTGTAATGCATATAAATGCCAACGATTTTCTCTTTCCGCAGGCGAGAACACAGAGAAAAACCGTTGTTCCGAAGAAATTTTTCTGCGAAGTTCAAAAGAATTGTGTAGTATAAGCCTTTGCCAAAAACTATGCCAAAAGGCGCTAGATGGAAGCGTTGTCTTACGAGCATACTGTACTTTGAGTGATACTTGTAATTGTGTTTATCGTTGCTAAAAACATCGGCCAACACTTTTTCGTATTGTATTGCCATGAAGTTCGAATAAATTAGAGACCTTATTTAAACATAATTATCAAGTATATATATATATATATATATGCCTGAAATCGAAGAGGAAATTCGATCTTTGATATCGATAAATAAAATCAAAGAAAAATGCTTTACTAAGTAACTAAGTTCTGAAAAAGTTACTTCCTCCATTTATTTTTAAGTGTCGTTTAAGCTGGATGCACATTAATTAAGAAAATTTTAAATAGATTTCTGGGAGCTTGAATTAACATAATATATAGAATATATTAAGATTACTGGCACAAGAAAAAAAAAAAAAAACCGAGTTCAATAACTCGTTGCATAATGCTTGACCAATGCAATTTACCTCTCTCATATAGTTTACGAGTTACTGTACGACAACGAATTCAAATACCAATGGACATCTACAATCGACGAAAGTATACGTCAACAACCGACGATTTCGGGCTTATTTTTCATACAACGTGTCCGATCCGACATAGAAAAATAAAAAAACACGAAAAAAGAAAAAGGAAAATCTAAAACGCATAAATATAAATCCTAATTAGCAACAAGTAAATACAACATTTTTTTTTCTTTCTTTCAATGATCACTTCAATTTTCTATCGACGGCATCAGCCTGTTTAGGAGAAAATCGATTTCCGTCGACGGAGGTGAAGATGGTGGTGGCGCCGCCACCCTTTGGGCTGAGCTGCCACTCGACGGCACCGTGACCCATAAGATTATATTCCCCCAAATCGGTGTGCTTCAAATATGGGCTGCTCTCCAATGGCAACTGCTGCATTTTTGTTTCTCTCTCTTCTTTTTCTTGATAATCTTCTCTCCTCAGCTGTTGTTGCCCTTCCATTTTCTTACTTTGTTTTTCTTCGGATAAAACTCATTTAACTATGGTTTTTTTTTTTTTTATGACAATTTTTGTATAGTGGTGGTACATGTGAAAATTTAATATTCATCAAATTAAGTATAAAAAAGTGTCAAAATTTAGTTATTGTTGGCCGCATTCATCGATCCTACAACGTCGTACCACCTTTGACAATGGAAAGTAGATAATCAATAATTATAATAAGGGCAAATTACGGCCAACCCCTGAGATATGGTCAAATTACGAAAAAAAACTCTTTTTGTTAGGGTAATTACAGCCATCCCCTCTTTTTAAATTTGTTTACATAAAATTCATGTAATTCGATTATTACCGAACCAAATCGTATATTCAGCTCGGAAAACGGTACAAAATATTGGCGTACCGAAATTTCGGTTCGATTTTACCGACTTAATATCCCTAAATTTACGTCTGGAGGGGTATTTTCGTAAGATAATATATAGTTGAGGGGTAGCTGTAATTACCCAAACTGAAAGGGGGTTTTCATAGTTTGACCATAACTCATGATTGGCCGTAATTTGTCCTAATAATAATTATCTATTGTTATTACGAGTTAATTGCAAAATTATAAGCAATCATTTATCGTAAATATACGTCACATGTATAAAATTAGTCATAGACAATAGAATTAAATTATCCTTTTTTAAAAATAAAAATAAGATAATAATAAATGCGAGTTAAATTGAGGTCCATAAAATATAGATCCGTTAGATAGATAATATATGGAAGCAAATGGTCTTTGTCATGTAATATGACTGACGAGCAAACCGAACTCAAATGAATAGTCTTAAATTGTTATGCATTAATTAGAGAGAGCTACCACCTCAAAAAAAAATTGGCAGTAAAAAGAAAAAAAATAAAAAAATTACTTGATTATGTCACAATTACCATTTTAATTTTAATTTTTAAAAGAATGTGACAACATCTCAAGTATGCATATAATTACAATCTTTCAAGTCTAGCAAGCTGGATTGTAAACAAATTGGGCACATGAAACTGTCATCCTGTTAAGACAACATGTCTTGGGACCAACTCTGCCTACTCTCTCTCTCTCTCTCTACACACACTCTCTCTCTCTCTCTCTCTCACACACACACACACATAGAAACATGTATTCTCACTCCAGACAAATTTTGTGAGTTATATAATTCATGTGTAAACATGCCAAAATGCACAAAATAAATCATTAGGGAAAAAAGACTGAAAAAAAAGGGCACATACAACTTGTTCCCACTAGGCTTTTCCCAACCTCTTTTGTGTACATAAATATTTTACCAAACTCTACTGCTTTTTTTTTTTTTTGTAGGTAGAATTAACTCTACTGCACTCTCTCTCTCTCTCTCTCTCTCTCTCTCTCTCTCTCTCACACACACACACACACACACACACAAAAAAAACTAGAAATGTAAGGAAAGACAATACAACAACGTTATGCCCTTATCCTTCACAAATTCAACCATAACCACATCCTTGGCTCACAATCCACCACCTAAATTCCCTCCATCATCATCATCATCATCATCCACATAACTTCCTTTCAAACATTCACACACACATACACACACAAAACTAACTTCAAACATTCATCACAAACCAAAATTCCCAAATTCTTACCAAAAAAAAAAGAAGGAAGAAAATCATGGGCTCAAAATCCAACACTCAAATCCTCGAAGAACTCGAAGCACTCAGCGGCACACTCTACCAATCCCAAACAGCCGCCAATCCCGCCCGACGAACCGCGTCTCTCGTCCTCCCACGAAACGCAGTCCCTCCCATTATCCCACCTTCCTCCGCCGACGAGATTAAAGATGACGTCATAGCCCTCAATCCAAAACCGAGATCCCGTCGAATGTCCTTATCTCCGTGGCGTTCTAGGCCGCAAAAACCCGAATACACCCAAGAAGAAAACGATTATCGCAACAAAGAGCCACAAAACCCCACCAAGAGCAACAAGTGGAGTGACGAACAAACATCATCATCTTCGGACAAAAAGGGGATATGGGGGTGGAAGCCCCTCCGAGCGCTCACACACATCGCCATGCAAAAGCTGAGTTGCCTATTCTCCGTTGAAGTTGTAACGGTACAAGGCCTCCCCGCCTCAATGAACGGGCTCCGCCTCTCCGTCTGCGTCCGGAAGAAGGAGAATCGCGACGGGGCCGTCCAGACGATGCCGTCACGTGTCTCTCAAGGCGCCGCCGACTTCGAGGAGACCCTCTTCGTCAGGTGCCACGTGTACTTCACCCCCTCGAGCGGCGGAGGCCGCACGAAATTCGAACCCCGTCCGTTTCTTATATACGTACTCGCGGTCGATGCGGAGGAGCTTGATTTTGGGAGAAGCTCAGTTGATTTGAGTGGGCTAATTCAAGAATCCATTGAGAAGAACTTCGAAGGTACGAGGATTAAGACATGGGACACGAGTTTTCGTCTCTCCGGTAAGGCGAAGGGAGGGGAGCTTGTAATAAAATTGGGGTTTCAGATTATGGACAAAGATGGAGGGATTGGATTGTATAGTCAAGCTTCGGAGGGGCAGAAATCGGGTGGTGGTAATAAAAGTCGAAACTTTTCGCCTTCTATTGTCGCTCGAAAGCAATCAAAATCGTCTTTTAGTGTTGCTAGTCCGAGGTTAACTAGTCGAGCCGAAGCTTGGACACCTTCACAGAAGGGAGTAAATGAATCGTCTTTAGATGATCATATGGATGATTTGAATCTTGATGAACCAGCTCCACCACCACAACCTATAAAATCTCCTCCTCCCCCACAAGAGACGAAAATCGAAGAAGTCGATTTTCCGGATTTCGATATAGAGGACAAAGGAGTCGAAATTGATCAGAACAAAGACGAAGAAGAAGAGGAGCGATATTCGGAAGAGAATTCGGACAAGAGATCAGTTTCCAGTGAGGTTGTTAAGGAAGTTGTGCAAGATCAATCCCACATTATCACACGGTTATCGGAGCTCGATTCGATTGCGCAGCAGATTAAAGCTCTCGAATCTATGATGGGGTCAGAAAACGGAAAGGGATCCAAAATAACAGATGAAGAAGAAACAGGCTCACAAACACTAGATGCTGATGAAGATAAAGTAACCAGAGAGTTTCTCCAACTTCTTGAAGATGGAGAAGAAGATAATAACAAACTCAAGGACGATCAAATCTCTCTATCGAAGCTCAAAAACTACGACGAACAATCCGAAGAAACAGAATCCGAGGTTTTCATACCTGATCTCGGCAAGGGATTAGGCTGCGTAGTTCAAACAAGAAACGGCGGCTACTTAGCTGCGATGAACCCACTCAACACCGTCGGGTCGAGAAAGGAAACGCCGAAACTCGCAATGCAGATGTCCAAGCCGGTGATTATCCAATCGAACAAAACGGGATTCGAGCTATTCCAAATATTGGCAGCCATTGGAGTTCAGGAATTGACCTCGGAGATTTCGTCACTAATGCCGATAGACGAACTCATGGGAAAAACAGCAGAGCAAATAGCCTTTGAAGGAATCGCTTCAGCCATAATCCAGGGGAGGAACAAAGAAGGCGCAAGCTCAACCGCCGCCCGCACAGTTGCTTCAGTCAAATCAATGGCGAACGCTATGAATAACGGGAGAAAGGAGAGGGTTTCGAGCGGGATATGGAGTGTGAGCGAAGACCCACTGTCAATTGAAGACATCCTCGCATTCTCGATGCAGAAAATCGAGAGTATGGCGATCGACGCCCTAAAAATCCAAGCGGATATCGCGGAAGAAGAAGCCCCATTCGACGTTTCTCCAAACCCTAGCGGCGAAAATAACAGCAACAACAATCTGTTGGCTTCTGCAGTTGCAATTGAGGATTGGGCGAAATCGAACAGCGGATATTCCGAATCGGAAATCGTGACGGTGGCGGTGGTGGTGCAGCTGCGAGATCCGATGAGGCAGTACGAGGCTGTGGGAGGGCCTATGGTAGCTATGATACACGCGCACGAGAGTGAGAAGGATTGTTACGATGAAGATGAAGAGAAGAAGTACAGAGTGGGGAGTTTGCAAGTGGGGAGTGTTAAAGTAAGGGGTAATTCGGGAATTAAGAATTTGTGGGATAATGAGAAGCAGAAGCTCACCGCCCTGCAATGGCTGCTGGCTTTCGGAATGGGGAAGGCGGCGAAGAAGGGTAAACGGGTCGGGGTAAACGGGCCGGATCTTATGTGGAGCGTTTCGTCTCGGGTTATGGCGGATATGTGGCTTAAACCGATTCGAAACCCGGATGTCAAGTTCAACAAGTAGGCCTTTTTTTTATTATTATTATTTTTTTTTTAATCTCTTGTCAAATTTTTTATATATAAATATATATATTTTTAAATTCATATTTGCTACATAAGGATTGTGGTGGGAGAATGTAATAATAATAATAATAATAATATTGTTTTTGTATACAAGATTTGTTCATGGTGTTGATTCAATTTGGTTTAGATTGCAAAAGTTGGTTTAATTTATTTTATTATTTTCAGGGTAAATTACAATCATGATGTATGGTCAAATTACAAAAAAAAAAACCATCTTGTTTATTTTTAAATTCTTTTACACGTCCATCCTTGCGGTTTCAAATTTCGTGGAATTTTCGAGATTATATGGATTACTATCACTTTTGTACCCGTTTTATCATATTCGAACTCAACATTTTAAAGCAAGATGATCATAATATGTGTTTTTAAGCTTGTATATATCAGATTGTAGTGCATCAGAAACTGTGTTTTTACACAAAATGAGTACAAACTAGACCACATTTCACGAAATCTAGATGATTATGTTGAATTTGACATCATAAGGGTGGAGATGTAAGAAAAAATCATAGTTGAGGGGTAGATGTAATTATCCAAACAAGAGGGATTTTTTCGTAAATTGACTATACCTTCAGGGGTGGTTTTAATTTACCCTTATTTTTATTGAATGTTTAATGTGAAAATACTACAAAATGTTATCCCAATTTTGTTCTGATTGACTTTGAAAATGTCGAAAACTAAATAAAATGATGTTAGTATAATTAGGGTTCTCTTATTATAAAGTTATATTTAGATCATAAGTTTAGTTAGATTGTAACTAGCTATTATCTTTATGAAAGAAGAAATACACAAATTAAACTTATTATGATATTTTTCTAAGTATTCTAATATGGTTTTTTTTTTTATGTTTCTCCATCTTTCGTTTAGTTATAACGAGACGGAAAACGCTATAAATCAACGTTTTTTTGTCATGAAAAAATTATACCACTGTTTGTTAGCACGTATCTACCGACATGTTCGGTTTTTAAAATATAAAAGCCGGTATTACCGGTACGTGTTTGGCTTATTGCAAAAATCGAGTCGTACCGACTCGCTTTCTCTAAATGGAAGACCACCTACGTGTAAATACTATTTTACCAAAAAATTCTAAATGGAAGACCACCTACGTGTAAATACTATTTTACCCTCAGTGAAGCACAAACACACAAAAATCCACATCTAATTGTTATTCAATGTGCATGTGCAAAAACTACACACAAAACATCATCTCTTTCAACCCCACAACTTTATCTCCTACAAACATCCTCAATTTAAATAAGATCAAATTGTTAGTTGCCATGAGATTTTTACTAAGGCAAACGAAATCAAAATAACACTAATAATAGTACAAGAAAGAAAAAAAATGGCATATAAAAAAAAAGAAGGTAAAACTAACTAGGGTTGGGATGGGTTGAACCATGTTGGGGCGGGGTCGATTCTTGAAATGCGTCGGATATCAGGCGGATAGTAGCACGGGGAGAAAGTCTTTTTTTCGTAATCGAAGATTCCTATATCGTGGCCTCCGGATCCGTACAATTCATCTTCAGCTTCATTGATTTGATGTAGAGTGAGTTCCTTTGTGTCGGTGAAATAGATCGAATCGGGATTCACATTCTTCTTCTTATTGATCGGTATTCTGTCGTCGTTTTCTTCTTCGATGACAAATCCATGTCCCGTAGAACCGATGAAGAATGCCATACCATCCAATGTACCGTTCATGTACTTCATCTCTCCTTTCTCTCTCTTCTTTTCATCAACAATTAATTCGTGAACTTCGAAACCGTACGTAAGGTACGGGTCATTTCCGGGTTTGTAACGCCAGTACGTACGATGTGGATCTTTAGGTCTGATTCTTTCCATTACGATACGCCGCACGAGAAAAAGACGATCGGACTTCTCCGCAAACACAAGGTACTTGAACGAGCAGCAAGTATCTCGTTTCATCGCGTGCTCTTCCGGCGATCGGGCGGACCAAGGGTAGTTATCCTCGTTGTATTCCATTTCATCGTTTCCCTTCTTCCAAATAAGTGTAGGAGAAGCGCCCCGAAGATCCCAACACTCGAAGTTGTCGTACTTTGTCGCGCAGAACAATAGATTTTTTTTCTTGGAAAACACAAAGTCCTCGTAAACCCTAGGAATCTTAGTAAACCCGGACTTGTCGTTTATCGGCTCGTTTTGGTGAAAAAGATCGCCGATGGGAGTCCACTCGTTACTGTGTCGTCCGAGGCAGCATACGGCCAGCCTATGTTCGGGACCGAAAGACATAATTGCCCGACAGCTGTCGTCGCCTTTGTCGGGAGAGCATGAAAGAATGACCTTTCTCGGTCGGTTATATTCGCTGCTGTAAAAAGGCAATGTATCGACTGGCGGGAGATTTACGGAGAGACGAGAGACGGGATTGTAGAGGATGACATCGAAGCTATAATTCCACTTGTCGTATTTGTGGCGCCACATGTACAAAGCTAGCCACCCGTGCGAAGATCCGACCAATGTGCCATCTTTCCCTTTTTTGCTCAAACGTTCGACTTTATCATCACCGAGATTGTAGAAGTTGTAGAACATTTTGTGGAAGCAGTCTTTAATCAACAGCCATGGCGCAGCCGCCGCCGCATGTTCAGATGACGACGATGATATTCGTCGGACTGATGGCTGACCACCACAAATCCAATTACGAAAAATGGAGCGCCGCCGGAGTATCAAACACCCCATTTTTAGCTTCTAAAACAAGACGAGTGTAGTTTTCTCAAGAAAACAATAAAAAACAAAAGAGAGAAAACAATTAAAAACAATATTGAAAACAATAAAAAAATAAATAAAAACCAAAATCCACCAACAATCAAGAACTAGTATTCTTACACATAAAATATTTTTCTAAAATAACAAGAAATCTACTAAAAAATTAACATAATAGCTAACATACATATAATATGCCAATTTGGACATCCTTGAATTTTACTTAATTTTTTTTATCATTTGTTACGAGCATGTATACCAAAAAACAAAAATCCATAGAAGCATAAATTTCGACGAAAACAAAATTGAAAAAACTGAATTACCTTTAGATTTGATAACTCGGCGATACCTTGCATCGACGTCGTCACCAAGTGTCGCCGGCGGTTTACGCCATCACACCTAATCCTCTGCCACCTGGCATCCGCGGCGCTTCTTCTTCCTGTTGCCTGAACTGACGAGAGAGTTAGAGAGAGGGAGAGATGAAGAGTTAGAGAGATGAAGAGAGAAAGAGAGAGAGAAGGGGAGACCGAACGTTTAGAAGGTGGGTTAGGGCATATTGAAAGTAAAAGTGCAGAATAGGTATTTCATGTTGCTACAGGGTCTAACAAATTAAGATCATAATTTGGATTTTTGACTACACAAAAAAATTTATTGAACCTCCTCATATATACATATATATTTTTAAGAGGTCTTTACAAATAAGTCCATCAATGGGTACTTATTTATAAATAGATCAAGACAAAAGACTCCTTTACCAATAAGTCCACACACGGTCCAGATTTTTGTAAATGACTAAAATAACCCTTCATACTTTAATATGCTCCAATTTCATCCTTAACTTTATTTAACCTCAATTTGACCCCAAATTTCACAAATTATTCAATTTTGACCCAAAACTTTTTTTTTTCAATTTTTTTTTTTCAAAAACTTTTGTTTTTCCCGCCAGATTCCGGCGTTGACTTTTTCGAGTTTTTTTTTTCTTTTTTTCTTCTTTTCTTTCTTTATGTAACCTTTTTTTTTGTTTAAACAGCAATATTGCTGTGATTGACAGTAATATTAACTATATTACTGTTAAACACAGTAAAATTAAACTAAACTACTGTTTAACACAGTAATATTGTTATATTAATCTCTAGCACAATAATATTAACACAACAAAACTCATTATTGTGTAATAGAGTAATATTACTATGTTGACCGTTCAACAAATGTAAACATAATAAAAAACCAAAAGAATTAATATTACTGTGAGTGATAGTAATATTACTATAACAACATAATATTACCGTCAACCACAGTAATATTACAATAATAGACAGTAATATTATTACGTTACTCCATGAATAACACAAACAAACAAAAAATCGAAACAAAATAATAATATTGATGTGGTTGACAGCAATATTACTATAACAACAGTAATATTACCGTCAACCACAGTAATATTATTGTGTTTACATTAATATTACAATAATAGACAGTAATATTATTACGTTACTCCGTGAATAACTTAAACAAAACAAAAAACCCAAAAAAGTAATAATATTGATGTTGTTGACAGTAATATTATTGTGTTTACAGTTATTTTACTGTCAACGACAGTAATATAATTTCGTTGACTTGTCAACAAATCAAACAAAATAAAAAAAAAACAAAAAAACAAAAAAAAAAATAATAATATTACATTAATTTACTGTCAACGGCAGCACAATTACATAAATGTATTGTCAACGGCAATACAATTACGTTAATTTACTGTCATTGACAGTATAATTATGTTAATTTACTGTGAGTGACAGCACAATTACAGTCAACGTTTAGCGACGGACGTAAAAAAAAAAAAAAAAAACACTAAAAAAAGTCAACGCCGGAAACCGGCGAAAAAATCCGGAAGAAAAGAAAAGAAAAAAAAAAGTCTACGCCGGAATCCGGCGGCAATTTTTTTTTTTTTGAAAAAAAAATGTTTGTGAAAAAAAAAGTTTTGGGTCAAAATTGAATAATTTGTGAAATTTGGGGTCAAATTGAGATTAAATTATGTTAAATGATGAAATTGGAGCATATTAAAGTATGCTCCAAAAAAAAGTCAAAATTGAATTTTTGTGGTCAAAATTGGATTTTTGTGAACAAAATTGATTAAATTGGGGTTACAATTAAAAAATGGGTATAAATGGTTGAGGGTAATCTTGGGATATACATGAGTATTTCCTTTATTTATAATAAATATTAAAGGGATGAGCTTATTGGTGAAAGAGATATAGCCCCTAAACCTAGAATAATAAACATGTTTGGTTGGAGATTTTATCACAAAAACCCCTATTTTCAAAACTAGGAGTATCCCTTATTTTATTTTAAATCTTGTCTTATAAAGTTTTGAATTTAGTTATAATTTTTAATGACTAAAACGTATTAATTTTGATTTACTTTTTATATTTATTATTGATATTATTCACTTTGGTTTCAATTTAAGATTTTACGGTTGCTCATTTATTTTAATTTTAGAGAAGAATAAAAAAAAAGTGCAAGATTTTACTCTTCACTTTTGGAATGGTATTGACGAATTTCGTGCAACGCACGGGGATAGTTACTAGTTATATATAAAACTAAGATACACAATCAAAGTTTTCTAATTAAGGACATTGAGTCCAACATTTATATATTAATTGCAAAAACCCCCCGCTTACCATAAACACCCATATATAATCTAGGGGTTTTTGTGCATAAATCCATAACCAAAAGAATATTATTCTAGGTTTAGGGGTTATATCTCTTTCACCAATAAGCTCATGTCTTTAATATTTATTATAAATAAAAGAAAAAAATCATGTATATGACATAATAACTCCAACGTTTTACATTCAATTCTTAATTGTAACTCCAATTTAATCAATTTTGACTACAAAAATCCAATTTTGACTTTTTTTTTCAAAAAATATTTTTTTGCCGCCTGATTTCGGCGTTGACTTTTTGATTTTTTTTTTAATTTTTTCAGGTTTGTTTTTTCCGCTGCCAGTCACCGGCGTTGACATTTTTTTTTTTTTTTTTCATTTACGGCCGCCGCCCATCATCTATGATTGAGTTGCGAAAACTTCTGGATAGGTATCCTACATCTACACCGAATTCTTTCTGGTTAAAATATCTCTTTCTAGCTACTCTGGAACACTATCTGGGCTGGGCGGGATTAAATGTATGATAGGTTTACCCGATATTGTAATCATCGTTGACCAGCACGAAGAATATACGGCCCTGCGAGAGTGTATCACTTTGAGAATTCCAACAATTTGTTTAATCGATACAAATAGTGACCCTGATCTTATTTCGATTCCAACGAACGATGACGCTATATCTTCAATCCGCTTAATTCTTAACAAATTAGTCTTCGCAATTTGTGAGGGCCGTTCTAGCTATATAAGAAATCCTTGATTAATAATAAGATAAATCACTTTTCATTCGATAATCTGATAGATTTATGGAATGGTTGATTTTTTTATTTATGATTTAATTTAAATAGATAAAAATAACAGGGGATATTATGCGATTAGTTAGTATTCCAAATATAAGTTGGTATTCTAAATATCCGATTCAAGACTTTTTTATAAATTGGATTCCCGCGTTGATTTTTTTTAGTATTTTTTAGTTTTTTTCTTTTACGTCCGCCGCTAAACGTTGACCGTAATTGTGCTGTCGTTAACGGTAATTATACTGTCACTGACAGTAAATTAACGTAATTATATTGTCACTGGCTGTACATTAACGTAATTGTACTGTTGTTGACAGTAAATTAACGTAATATTATTTTTATTTTTATTTGTTATTTTTTTTACTTTTTTTTTTGATTTGTTGACAAGTCAACGTAATTATATTACTGTAGTTGACAGTAAAATAACTGTAAACACAATAATATTACTGTCAACCACATCAATATTATTATTTTTTTGGGTTTTTTGTTTTGTTTGAGTTATTCACGGAGTAACGTAATAATATTACTGTCTATTATTGTAATATTACTATAAACACAATAATATTACTGTGGTTAGGGGTGTGCGCGGGCCATAAACCCGCGGGTTCTATCAAAACCCGCCATCGTCCCGTCAAACAACGGTTCTTGATTTTGAAGAACCAAACTTGTGGGTTTTTAACGGGTTTACGATAGGCGGGTCCATGGCGGGTTTGTAGTAGGACCCAACCTTTACGGGTCGAAACCCGTTATCGTCTAAACTATTTTTTTTTATATATAATTTATAAGTTTTACGGGAGAATAATTAAAAACTAAAATGAATAACCTAAAATTTTAAATTGAAACCAAACATAAATAATGTAAATGTCAAGAGTAAATAAAAATTAATATAAAATTAAAAATAACTAATTCATAACTTAAAAGACAAAAATTAAATAAAATAAACATAGTTTTTTCAAGCATAACCAACGCTATCCAGCTCCATTCAACACCATTTTCTTCCTTTTTTTTTCTCTGCCGTGTGTTGATTGTTGTGTATATATGCTTTTTCCCCTACATATTCTTAGAGATTTTCATAATCTTTATAGATATTACTTTCACAATTATAGTTGAGTTGATTTATGTATTTGATACACTAGAGATACTTTATTTATTCATTAATATTATTAATTTATTATACTACATAATGTAAATAAAACGACGTCGTTTTGTATGGCGGGGCGGGACGGGTTTCACGGGTATTAAAAAAAATTGAACCCGTCTAAGACCCAAACCCACGGTTCTTCACCATTTTAGGACCCAATCCTATGGATGAATCTATCCGTCCGGTCCCTACGGGGCGGTTTTTCACGGGTTTGACGGGTATAGCGGGTTGATGGGTCCGACTTGCTCACCCCTAACTGTGGTTGACAGTAATATTACTGTTGTTATAGTAATATTACTGTCAACCACATCAATATTTTTATTTTTTTGGGTTTTTTTTGTTTTAATTGAGTTATTCAAGGAGTACGTAATAATATTACTGTCTATTATTGTAATATTAATGTGATTGACGGTAATATTACTGTTGTTATAGTAATATTACTGACTCATAGTAATATCAATTCTTTTGGTTTTTTATTATGTTTACATTTGTTGAACGGTCAACATATTAATATTATTCTATTACACAATAATAATGAATTTTGGTGTGTTAATATTACTGTGCTAGAGATTAATATAACAATATTATTGTGTTAAACTGTAGTATAGTTAATTTTATTGTGTTTAACAGTAATATAGTTAATATTACTGTCAATCACAGCAATATTGTTGTTTAAACGGGGAAAAAAAGATTTTAAAGAAAAAAAAGAAGTCAACGGCGGTGACGGACGAAATTGTCCATTAAAATGTGTTTTGGGTCAAAATTGAATAATTTGTGAAATTTGAGGTCAATTTGAGGTTAGATTAAATTAAAGGATGAAAATAGGGCATATTAAAGTATGAGGGACTATTTTAGTCTTTTACAAACCTTTGGACCATGTGTGAACTTTTTTGTAAAGAAGTTTATTGTCTGGATCTCTTTATGAATAAGTACCCATTGATGGGCTTATTTGTAAATGAAATGCTTTTTACGGTTTGAAAATTGTTATTTACGGTTCATAACAAAAAATATTTTATCTCACTAAAACCCCAAAACTTTCCAAAAAAACCCAAAAATCCCCCAAACTGCAAATAGAAAAAAAAGGAAAAATCGAAAATTCGAAATCAAGCTTGAAGAAGGGTTGGGCTTCGATTTTTTGAGGTAATTTCGACTCTTTTATGTGTAATATGCATTGGGTAGATCGATTACGGAACCAATTTCATGTTAAAAGCCCTACAAATCAATTTGTAGGGTTTTTTTTTTCGCAAAACATGTTGGAACGCCCAAGATGGGCGCCCAAGGTTCAATTAAAAAAAAAAAAAATTTTGCACTGGACGCCTAACTCGGGCGCCCAAATGCAGCTTGCACGCCCAACTTGGGCGTGCACTGCATGAATGGGCGTCCAAGTTGGGCTTTTACGCATTTTGGGGGTTTTTTGGGGAAGTTTTGGGGTTTTAAAGAGATAAAGTGTTTTTTGTTATAAACCGTAAATAGCAATTTTCAAATCGTAAAATGCAAGTCCCGGAAAAAAAAAGTTTTTTTTTTCTTTTATATAATAGTGTATAAAATGCTCAAATGACGAAAGAAAAAAAAAGACACACTACTGTAAAAAAAAAATTTAAAAACGTAAGATGGAAAAAATGAAAAAATTAAATGCATCATAAAGAAATGATAAATGCAGTTTAAATTTACTTAATGTAAATTTTGAATTTTGTATTGGAGGGGCAGTTTTTGAATGAATTTTATGAAGGATGTGAAACAAAAGTTTAGTTGGACTTGTCATTAAGTCCTAATAAGTTTGTCATTTAGTGTATAAATAAAACATCGTTTGTCCATATATGATTTAACTATGCTGCCCAGAAAAGGGGAGAAAATGACAATAAAACTGACAAGAACAAAGGGGAAATTCAAACAATTGTTTGTTTGAATGTTGATTATCATTGATCAGACGTAGACGTTGCTAATAATAAACTTGCAGGATATTTGAATATATAGTGTGTGATTGATTTTTTCTTGATTGTAATATTTATTTGTATTTCATTTCAACTTTGGATTAAAAGATAAAGTTTATTTATTTTCTAGTTTCACATAATTTTTGGTAGAAGAATGGGTGGGCATCGTAGGTTCTAAAACGGGCCAATAGTACATGGCCCAATAAAATGAGGCCTAGTACTTATATTTAGTCGGTTCCAAAGCTTTGCATTTTTTTCCTTTTTACAAAACCCTAATCTTTTATTTCATTTTCTTCTGTTATTCCTTAGTCATATATCGTTACCTCTTCGTCTTCTATTATTCGATCGATCTCTCAACCATCTAAATAGGTAATTTTTTTTTTTTTTTTTTTTTATATTTAATTATTAATTTTTTATTTTTTTTTTTGTTTTTGGCATATAGGCGTAACAAATGAAAAAAATTAACTAAAATTCAAGGATGTCCAAATTGCCATATTATATGTATGTTGGTATCAGAGAATTCAGTACAGTCGTTTGAGAATAATGAATTTGAGAATAATGAAAGGATAAACCTATTCTACTACTGTTAGCTATGTTAATTTTATAATGGTTAGTAATTTGAAACCAATTCATATTATTTTTTTAGTAGATTTCTTGTTATTTTAGAAAAATATTTTATGTGTAAGATCAGAATACTAGTTCTTGATTGTCCGTGCTCCAGGTTTTTATTTTTTATTGTTTTCAATATTTTCTTCTTCTTTTTTCTTTAAAAGAAAATTACACTCCTCTTGTTTTAGAACCTAATAAAAGTGGCGTCTTCGATGCTCCGGCGCTCCCTTTTTCGTAATTTGATTTGTGCTCGGCCAACACTCCGACGACGAATATCATCGTCGTCGTCCGAACATGTGGCGGCTGCGCCGCCATGGCTGTTGATTGAAGACAGTGTTGAAGATGGGGTGTTGTACAACAATTTTTACAGCATGGCCGATAAAAAAGTAATAAAAAAAGAAGCCAAGTATACGAAATCATCGAAAGATATCGGGATGGTGGTGGGATCTTCACACGGTTGGCTAGCTTTGTGCAATTTGTGCAATTCGGGGGGCAGCAGCAGCAGCAGCTTCAATAATAATAATATGTATCTCTATAATCCTGTCTCGCAGAGTATCTTCGATCTCCCGTCGTTTCCTATGTCCGTACCGTCGAAGGTCATCCTATCGTCCTCCCCGGAAGAAGACGGCTGTCGTGCCATTATGTCTTTCGGTCCACAAAACAGGCTGCTCTACTGCTGCCCCGGTCGCAGCAACGAGTGGACTCCCATCGACGACGAGGCCGAGACTAGTAGTACGTATCCAACGATGTACAACGACTTTGTGTATTCCAAGGGACAAAAGCTATTGTTCAGCATCAACAGTTCCGACATGTTCGAGTGTTGGGATCTCGCGGACCTTGCGAATCCGAAACAGATTTGGAAGATACGATGCGGTGTAAGTTGGTCCACATGGAGATACCTCGTGTTTGCGGAGCAGTCGGAGCGGCTCTTTCTTGTAGATCGTTACGTAGTGGAAAACATCAGACCGTACGGTGCCACTCGAGACGGTCCGCATCAGACGTTTTCATTTTATGTTATTGAATTAATTGTTAATCTTACTGCTAATGATGAAGACGACGAAGATGATAAACTAGAGTTGATTGGCATGGCTACCTTGGATGGTATGGCATTCTTCGTTGGTTCGACGGGACACGGAGTCGTCATCGAAGAAACGGTTGAGAATAACGTCGAGCCGAATTCGATATATTTCACCGACGCAAAGGAACTCACCCCACCGCCTTGGGATCACGATAAACGATACGGTGGCCACGATGTAGGCGTCTTTAATTATGAAGAAAAAAATTTCTCTCCTTTCTACTATTCTCATGATATTCGAAACTTTAGAAGAATTAATAACCCGGCACCGACATGGTTCTCGCCATCCCATTAGATATAAAACAATGTTTTAAAAACCGACCCGGCTAGCTAGTTGATATTTGTGGGATTTCAAGAGAGGTAGATTTATCCTTCTTTTAATTTTCTTTTTTACAAATTTAAAAGTCGTTCATCGAATAAAAGTTGTTGTTCGTGCTCTGCCCGTCAAAATAACGTCAACCTCTACGTAGGCGCCGGCATACGACCGTTTGGTTTATAAATGTGTCGTATCGCATAATTAAAGTTCTACCAATAGTAAATTAGATGTGGAATTTATACATTTCCAAGCGTCCATATAAGTAAAATGCGCTAAGTTTATTTGTCGCGTCATAAAATTTAGGGTAAATTCCACTTTATTCCCTTGTACTTTGGCTGGATATCACTTTACCCCATGTATTCTCAATTGCATTGATTTGCCCCCTTGTACTTTGGTTCGATATCACTTTGTTAGAATCCCATGGATTCTAATTGTATGAGAATTAATAAAACTTGTGCCACAAGTTTTCATATACCGTGATCTAAAGAAGGGAAGAGTCCTTGTAGCTTTTAATTCCTTTAATTTGTCATTAATTGATTTATAATAGGAATTATTCTTCTAAAGAGTTTCCTTGTATTGAAAATATTGTTTCCTACGTAATTAAGAGTTTCCTAACCCTAATGGACTCTATTTTCCTTGTAGGATTCTTATCTCCCATAGATGTATAAATACAGCAGAACGGCGCCTCATACTCTACGCCTTTCGTTGGAGAGAAAAATCATATTTTTCTGCTCTTTTTATTTGCTGCGCCCGGAACGTCTTTTTCATCGAGAGAAGTTTTCACAGAAAATATTCTTGGCTCTCGTTTTTATTGTTCCATCGTGATACGTGATTTTCATAGAAAATATATCGGCTTCAAGGCTTTGTGGTGAAGACACCAAGATTCAAGGAGTATCACAAGTTTGCTTCTTCTATATAAAAAGAAGATCGGTTCTTCGGGAGAGGGGCTTAAATAGATCTCGGGAGGAGATCGATCCGCCGACTGAGGGATTCAGCGTTGAAGGGAGTTCAACCGTGCGGAGCAAGGGACGTGCTGCAAATTGAAGATTTATAATTCAGCGTAGTTTACAAGAACGGCGTCAACAAAGAGGGAGTCTTTGTATTTTGATTAAGTCCTATTATTGTATTCGTAAAACTAAAAATTAGTAAATTTTATTTGCAGGTCCCCATGGATGTAGGGTACAGTTGTATCCGAACCACATTAAAATTTGTGTCTCGTTTATTACTGTTTTTACGAACTGCTTCACGAACTGTTGCAACACTTCACGCAACAGTAACGAAAAACTGAATCTGACACAAATAATTTATATCTGCACGAAATAAATTCTAACAATTGGCATCAAGAGCCTGTCACTAGATACACTTAGTGAGATTTTGGGATTTAATTTTTCTTTATTTTTTTTTTTGTGCAGATATGAATAATTATCGTGAAGGCGCATTCCTACCACCTGTCTTGGGTGAATTGAACTACTCTGATTGGAAAATAAGGATGAAGATGTTCATCAAATCTATTGATGAATGGGCCTGGCGCGCGATTCTAATTGGTTGGACACCTCCTACCTCGATGAATGAGTCACACGAGATCATTCAAACGCCAAAAGAGAAGTGGAGTGATGAAGAAGTACGAATAGCAGATTATAATTCCAAGGCAACCAATGCTATCTTGAGTTGTATCGATGAAGACCAATTCAAATTGATATCAATGTGCAAATCAGCAAAGGAGGCATGGGATGTTCTACAAGAGGCCTACGAAGGAACTACTCTGATAAGCGAGTGCAAAGAGACTGTCGCTGAAACTGTTACAACAGTTGGACAAACAGTTCAGATAGAACTTAGGTATGATAAGCTGCATTCAATACCTGATAAAAGATTAACTCCGTTAAATCTTGCAGGTGATGATGGGGATTCAAAAACAGCAGCGATGATGACGTGTCATCCTTGGAAGAATTAAATGAGTGCTATGAAAGGATGTACGAAAAATTTCTTCAGGTATGCGAGTCGAATAAATTCTTAGAAAAAGAGAAGCTTGTCCTAATTGAGGAAAATAAAGTATTGAAGGTAAGAATTTCCACTCTTGAACAAAATGTTATTTCTTCTAGTAGAGAAACAGATAGCTTGAAGGCTAAATTTGCTCAAACCCAAGATGCTATTTCTAAGTTTAATACTGGTAGGGTAACTTTGAATGAAATTTTGAACAAAAATCAGCCGAACTGCGGTCGTATAGGTATAGGGGGTAGTCAACTATCTAATGATGGATTGAAACAGAAAGAGGATCCAAAAAGAAAAATCAATTTTGTTAAACAATCCACTGTTTCACAGACTGTTGCGACAGTTGCACCAACACAGCCATTTCAAAGAAAAGTTTTTGTTCCTATCTGTCATTTTTGTCATGTTCCTGGTCATATACGACCCAGGTGTTTTAAGTACTTGAAAATGGTTAAAAGAATAATGGCTCGCTCACCACTTTCCGCTAAAATTGATCACACTTTTGTGTCGTCTAAAAAACCCAAGATAAAGGTTGATTTAGTGAATAAAACTCAACAAAAAATCTGGGTAAAGAAGTCTGATCTTAATTGTTTATCTGCCATTACTTCTTTAAAATCTTGTGATGATAGTACTAACTGTTCCAGCAGTTCTGGTGACGAAGCTAGTTTGGGGAACAAAAAACTTGGTAATCTTAATTGTGATAATTTTTATGCGAAAAATAAGTTTATGAATCCAATTCAGCATTCGAGAACTAAGCTTACTGATATTTGTCATTGTTTCATAAGGAGCTTGGTCGAAAAGGGGGTTGTCTCAATTGATTATGCTGCAACGGAGAATGAATTAACTGATGCTTTTGCAAAAACCCTTGATGCACAGAGATTTGATTCCTTGCGAAAATCGCTGGGAATTTATGTTTCTTAATCTGATGCAGTTGCATGAACTGTTGCAACAGTCTGTGTGCCCAGACTTGCAACTTTTAGTGGTGGGACACTTCATATGTTTTTGCATCTCATATAGGATCTGCATTAAGCATACTGCATCTGATTGAGACAAATGTGAATTTGATGCTTCATGTACTTCTAATCTTTGTGGGGGTAGAACTTCACCAATTCCCAAAATGATTACTTAAAAGGCTCCAACTTATTTATTTCTCTGAATAGTCTTGTCATGGTTGGATGTTTTTATAGGGAAAAACTGCCTCTTTTAATGAGTGAAAGCTACTCTTGAACTACTGTTACTAATATATATATATCTACAACCATTTGGTCAGTGAATAGTTCGAAGCCTTTTTGAGTCGAGCCAGTAAATCACGTGGCCGAAAGATCGCTACAAGGCTCAATTAGAAAGCCCAGGGGACTACACATTGCACGGCCAATATAAATTATATATATGGTCAGTGAATAGTTCGAAGCCTAGTTGAGTCGAGCCAGTAAACCACTTGACCGAACACTTACTACAAAGCTCAATTAGAAAGCCCAGGGGACTACACATTGCACGACCAGCATAATCTCGTTCCTTTTTAATTGCTCTATTTTTCTTGGGAAAAAGCTACCATTAGACGTGTGTGTACGCTACCTAATAAGAGCATTTATGTGTTTGACTTGGGATTATTAAGTTTATTGGTTGCATTGGCAGTCGGATTTTTGGGGATTGCGTTTGTCGTAAATGTGAAGATAAATCCCATATGTTTTGTTTGTCCATGCAGTATCCTATTCACATATGTCTCTTCACTCATGTTTATTTCTCATGTTTACTTTTTGTACTGCATTAGGCATTATTTAAAAAAAAAAAAAAAAAAAAAAAAAAAAAAAAAAAAAAAAAAAAAGAGAGAGAGACGGGATTTTTGCTTATGTGCCGGTTAAATTTGATTTTTTTGTTGCAACCGGATCGATTGGGCTTACTCCTCACATTTCCACGTTTCTTATGAAGTTTGGCAAAGTCTGTAGTCTTTGCTATTTAATGTTGGATTTGATATCACTATCCTTTGATTTTCGCATTCCAATTATCGTGTGGTATTGAGTTTTTGAGTTTGTGATTTTGTTTGCAAGTTGTATATGGTGACTCTTCTTACTTACTTTCAAAATTCTCTCTTCGTTTGATCTTTTTGTTAAGTGTTTGAACAGATTGCTCGACACATCAAGATCATTAGTCCATGTTAATTTATCTATGCATGGTGATTGCCCAGAAAGGGGGAGAAAAGAAAAAGAACAGTAAAGTTGGCATGAACACAGGGAGAGTTCCGACAACTGTTGCGACAGTGCATCAGACAGTTGCTGGAACAGTGCATGAATGCAGGGGGAGTTCAGACAGCTGTTGAGACAATGCATCATACAGTTGTTGGAATAGTGTAGAAATACATGACAAATAAAGATGAATTCATTGTAAAGGGAAGTTGATTCTGCTACTGCATATTTTCTGTTGTTCTTTTTTTGTTGAGTTCAAACCACTAACTTTCTCTGAACTGTTTGATAAACTGTTGCAACAGTTTATATTTGCAGACGTTATTTTGAATTTGCTGACCCTTGTTCATGCATATATCATATATTTAGGGGGAGTAAATGTTCTGACCAATCAATGACAAAGGGGGAGAGTGTTAGAATCTCGGTGGGATTCTAAGTCCACAACACCAAGTGGAATTTTATGGAGATGTGTATTAATATGAGGAACATATTTTCCTTAGTTATCTCATTAGATAATTTGAGAAGAAATAAATTATCTCTCCATATTAATCACATGAACGTGTCTATCCAAAATAGAAGGAATTCCATCTTTTTATTATTATTGTGGTAATTGTCATTAATTTGTTTTCCTTGTTTGATTTCTCCAGAGCTTCACAAGAATATAAAAGGAGGAGCTAATGCCGACGTTATTTGTTGAGTCTCTTATCACGTGGATAATTTACCACGTTTTCATCCACCGCCTTCCAAGTCTATCAAGCCGAAGCTTCACAAGAATATAAAAGGAGGAGCTAATGCCGACGTTATTTGCTGAGTCTCTTATCACGTGGATAATTTACCACGTTGTCATCCACCGCCTTCCAAATCTATCAAGCCGAGTAAGCAAAGGGGGAGAATGAATGCATTTACAAGAGGAGCTGCCTAAAGATCATTCACAGAGGGAGATACACATGCAGGGGGAGCTGACTCCGTTG